GAGGAAGGTGGAAAATGAAGAGGAGGGGAGGGAAAGGTTGGGAAAATTCAGTTGGATAGACAGACGGGGAAATTGAATAAGCGAAGCGTTGGCAATATGGATATTCGGGTTCATTGCTTTGACATTGATGAGACAGGACAAGGCTAGACACACACACATAGCATAGCGGGCAAGGTTATGGAAAGTTGGTTGGTGGGTGGCAGTAGGTGGTGCGGTTAACAAACACACACACACACACACACTAAAACCCACAAAACACTCAGTGAAAATCACTCACACACATGGACATCTGGACTGCTGATGGACTTATGTAAATTGACTATGCAAACTGTATAAATATTTGATCAATTTCCATGTCTCCTCGCGCATTGTAAGCCGCAAAAATAAATGTATTTTTAAGTAGATGCAACCACAAACTTATATACATGCAGACATATATATATTATATTTCATACTATAAGGAAACACAGCGAAAAATAAGAAAAACTTAAAATGTTGATTGATAGCAAGGAAAATCCATGAAAACTTTGCAGTTGATTTGGGTTAAGCCAAGGCCTAAGTTAAGGTTATCATTAAGCATCCATCAAGAATCTTCATCTTTAAGAACTCTTCTTTTTTCTTCAGTGTACAAGCAAAATCAATCAACAGTAAATGGACGCGTCAAAAATCAGCAAATGTGAAATACTCACCCGCCGACGTCCACCTCCGCGAGCCAACATCCCGCCCAATCGAGGTGAAAGGTTATAAGGGTCCTCTGGGCTACCTCTCGATTGCCACACGGCACCTCCCCCATTTGGCCACCCATCCGCAGGACCCAAAAAGTAAATGAAGCGCAAAAAAAAAAAAAAAGGAAGAGAAAAACGCAAAAAGCGAAAAAGGAAAAGGCCGCTGGCAATCGATGAATTCATTTTTGGTATTCAACGAAATTGTTCAAACAATTATCGATATGAATAAAAGACGCAAGCTTTCTCTGGCGATTTTTATGAATAGCAATCTTGAACGGCATTGAATTTTCGTTAGGGATTTATTAGAGAGCTCACCACGCCTCCCATCCATCCACCCACAAGCACATACAGCACAAGCACAGAAAAAAAAAGAAAACTGCCCTCCTAACAAAGTTCTCGTTATTCATGAATTCAAGTGGCAAAGTGAAATAGAAGTTGAAGTTGACTCAAGCGGTTTTTGCTGAATTAATTATCGATAACGAGATAACGATGTGTGTGTTTTTTTCCGTCCCTTTTGTATTAATATACAAGCCAAATTAATGCCAATATTTATGGATGTTTTTTTTTTTGACGATAAGCTATCCGAAAATCAGGAAAACCAACTTATTACAACGAGGCATGATTAGCGGCAGCTATATGGATGTCGATTAGACATCTAATTTGTTTTGGCAGTTCACGGGAAAAGTAAAAAAAAGTAGTAAAAATATACAGAAAATATACAATATATTCCATAATTTAATATTCCTTTTAAAATCAACAAAGAACCGAATCTATTAAGATTATTAATTTAAAAATAAAACACAAATCAAAGCAACCTCAATTCTGAAAAATTCGCCATAAAAGCGTGCCACATACGGATAATTGACTTTTTGAGTTCTACGAAAAAGGCCAAGTACCTTATGAAAATTGAAAGAAAAATATGGCAATATGGAATTCATTGAAAGGAAAATATTAAGAAATCAGATATGATGACTATAACCACAGACATATATCAATCTAGATATATATATATCCTCGCTGACGTCGAGTGAGTGAATCGTAATGAGTTTTGAAATGTACACCAGTACCACCATTCTGTGTCATTACGTTGCGGAGGGTGGAAAAGTGAAGCTCCCCATCTCATTTTGCCATTAGCATTCAGTCAGTTCAGTTAGTCAAGAGTCAGTCAGTTGGCTGTTTGGGTGGGAGGATATGTTGGTGATATATATCCACCTCTGCAGTGCCATATCCGACAAGAAGAATATGAAAGAAATATTGAACGGGATGGGTCGGTTAATTGGAGCGCATGATTGATTACAGTTTCCATTAATTACGCTCACTTTGCTCGCTTTTCTGGTCATTAACCATTCGACAGGGGACTTTGGGGAAAAAAGCTATCAAGGAAAAAGCCGTCGTTGCCGACGACAACTTTTAAAATTCAAAAGATTAACAAAATAAATCAAGATTCGATTAGGTAGCAGGGAAGAGCGAATGGAATGCCATTAACCATTAGCGTAAACAACAAGCAGACTACTTAAGATTCCCAGGAGTATAGAAATGGAAGTTCCTGTTAAGAATATATTTGTACTTATTTCGGGTAAAGCAACACAAAACCTGGGGATTGGCATCTTGGGATTTTGGGATCTCAATTCTATTTATGGCAAATTCCCACATCTCAGGAATATTTCACATTCAACACGATCGTTCCCAAAAAAAAAAGAAAATAAAAAAATAAAACACAAGCAAGTGCAATGAGATATATATCTGGGATATCTGACTGTGCATCGCATAGAAAGCGAAAGGCAACGACATCCAGACGAAATGAGTTGCAAAAAAAAAAAATGAAAAGCAAAACCAAAGAAAAAACCAAATTTCAGGGGAAAAAGTGTAAAAATGTTTGTGTTTTGCTTTTCAAGAAAGTTTATTTGATGTATTTTTGGATAATAGGTTGGGAAATAAACACAATTGACATTCTATTTACAATAGTAGCAAATCTACACAGATATATATATATATATATATACCATATACAATGGGGTTTATGATCTTTGTTATTTACAATAAAAATAAGGAATGTCTAATTGGGGTTTCTTTTTTTTTGGGTGTGTATTCCTTTGCAATGGGTAATTAACAATGATTTTGATGAGAGGAACTTTTCGTTTTAGTGCTTTTTCGAGACAATAAAACAGCTATTAAGAATTAGGGCGAGGGAAAATCATCTTAGATCAAAGAATTTTTTAGGATTTAGGCTTATTTTTGTTGGGGATAGTGTGTTGTCTTGATACAAACTGCTTGGCACACTATTTCCTTAGCCAAGTATAGCTTTAGTTATCCTAATAAATTATTGTTTCCTTTTTAAATTTATATCCTCAATTTTAGTTTAACTTAACAAACACACTAATGGAGCGATTAAATCATTCTTAATTGTCTTTCTTAAACTGCCATTACAACTTCAATGGCCCTTACGGAAGGCCTGCATTCAATTACTGACCCAATTCCAGTAATTGTCCCATTCACTATGCTTTCAATTTCCGTTGTAAAAGTTTAGGATAAAGTTTAGCTTAAAGTTCAAACCCCCAGAATGGTCTTAAAGTTGCCCACCCTACCCCTTTTTGTGCTCAATAATTTATTTTTAGTTATGTTTTCGGGTTCGACCACAAACTCAATTTGGCTCTTCATGAATTTTCCATGTGCGTCAAAGTGAGGCAAAAAGTTGGAGAGAGGAAAGTACGGTCGATGGGAGGGGGGGCGGTCATTGTTTTACTCTGGCTCTGAAAATCTCATATTCAGGTTTTTGTTCATTTTTTTCTTTTTTTCTTTTTGGTTTGAGGACTAAGAACTAAAGACTAATCCTTATGCATTTGCATGACCGCAAGCAAGCCAGTTACACCCTGTTCTTTCTTAGCTGCCAAAGAACTGAGCCCTTTCGTCGAATCCTGAGGTCCTGACGCGGGTTTCCTTGAGGTCCTTCCTTTGATTGCACAGCTCTCGAAAGCTCCTGTTCTTGTTCGGTTGCGGTTTTTGTGGTTGCTCAGCCAACTTGGCCTAATCTGCATATACTGCACGGAGAGCAAAAATGTCAAGTACGAGTATTCCGCACTTGAATCCCGTTCTTCAACCATTCAAAAAAAAAAAACCTAATAGGCAGTTGGTAGGGCCGCGTTTTTGTGGTATTTTGGAATGGTCCAAAAATCTATTTAAGCCCTGTCGTCGGTATGCCAGCCAAGTTGAACTAATTTTATGAACAAAACTTTTGCTTTGCGTTGCTCTCGACTTCTGACAAATTTTCAGAAATATTTAACATAGCAACAAGAATTCTTGATTTATTTATGAGTTTGCGGCCACTTTAAAGTTCGTTTTGGGCAAATTTTGGTGATCCGTCAGAGTTTTCAGATTTATTAGGTTTTATAATTAATGTAGCGGTTAGCGGCAAGCTACCTTAAAACCCAAAAATTGTGAGTTTATTGTCGTTTTAAATGTTATTTGAGACAATAAAGGGACTAAGGGACATGTAATCAAATTGTAAGATGATTAATTTTTAATTAGAAACCTTGACACTTTCACAATATGTTAAACCCCTCTCTCCAAATACTGAAAGTATTATAAACTCCTCACTTCTAAAGATATGACAGAAAAGTATATAACTTCTGGCTTAAGTATATAGAAGATTATAAGGAAATGTTGGTCACTTACTCATATACTTATCTTATTAAGTTAATAGCTCCATTTTCTCCTCTCTCAAAAGCCTTCTATTAAGTTTATAACTCACTATTTTAGCCTCTTCACTTTACATTACTACTAATTAGGTGCGTTTAAGTTCTTAAGATGATAGATTGTATTACTTAAAAGTTTTCCAGGCAGTAGATAGTGCCATTCACGCCATATAAAATCTCTCAACTTTTAATTGGCTCAAATACTTCTGCTTCTTTGGGATGAAGTTTTGGTGGGTCTTTTCTCTCAGTGTGTGTGTGTGTGTGTGTAAGTGGCCAACTGCAGCTGTGAATTGAGGAATGTGCACGCATAACTCATTTAGCATTCCCTCTCTGTCGCTCCCTTTTGCTCCTTTTTTTCCTTCTATTCCTTCTGTTTGTCCTGCCCTTTTGTCCTTTTCTAGCGCTGCTTGCACTTTAGTTACAGTTTCGTGTTGGTATGCCAAGTTTTGCAGTGTGTGTGTTTTGCTTGCGTGTGTATATGCGGGTGTGCGGAAGGGGAGTGTGGGTGTGAAGTGCAGGCGGCGGTGTTTGCGTGTGTTAGTAAATATGCTATCTTTGTTGTAGTTGTAGTAGCGGTACCCACTTTGATATTTTGCGACGCCTTCCAGCAATGTTCGTTGTTATTGTTGTTGCTTTTATAGTGGTTGCTGTTGTTGTTGTTGTTGTTGTTGTTGTTGTTGTAATGGCTCCTTTAGTTAATAGCTGGTCCCGTTGGTGTTGTTGCTGTTGTTGTTCGTGTGATAAAATCGGCAATATTTGGCACGCGCGTGTCACTGTGCTGGTATACAACGCAAATGCTGCTGCTGTTCGTCCATATTGCCATTTATGCACATGCATGTGTCTCTTCGTGTGTGTGTGTATAAGTGTGTTTGGTCTGATTTACAAGTGTATGTGTGAACGCGCGCGACAAAGACGGAAATTCGGTGGACTTATGTATCGGGGAATTGCAGTAGCTGTTGTTGTTGTTGGTGTTGTAGTTGCTGCTGCTGCTGCTGCTGTTTTTGTTGCAGTAGAATTTGCATTTGTTGTCGAATTTGTTGCTGCTGCATTTTCTTTGGCATTTCCATTGGCCGCATTGGGCGCTGTATTTTTTCTTGCACTTGTTTTCTTTATATATATATTTTTTGTAACTATATATATATATATATATTAACTATAGAATAACAAGAAAAAAAATAAATATGTGTATTGTTTATATATAGATGGGCTAGCATCTATATAGATATGTATAATTATATGTGTGTGCGACACCCACGAGACAACGACGACGAACGAAGAGCATTCAACTCCACTGCTTGTCGAATTTGAACTATTTTACGGGTTTTTATTTGAATTTTTTTCTTGGATACATCTGTGCCTGTCTATTCTGGTCCTGCCTTTCTTTTTTTTTGTTATTTTGTTTGACCGCGCTGTCGCGAACTTTCTGCGTTCAAAGTACCCGGATTACTAATTGCATTCTGGCAATCTCTCACTGCCCTCGCATAACTTTTCGCAATTTTTGCTCTCTTGCGCTCAAAGTAACGGTTCTAAGCCGTCGAATTGTGATCTTGCTCTCTTTAACTCTGTTCAAAGCTTTTGCTTTCAAGGCCTTTCTGCACGATCGAAGTTATCGAGTTTTGATGTCTGAGCAACTCTAGCTTTAAAACTTATACGTATTAAGTATAGATTTAACTTTAAATTATTAGGTTTAAAAATAACATATTATTTTTCATAAAACATGAATATGCAGCTAATAGGTTATGTCGTGCAAAAAGGCCCTAGCTTCCCTCAATTTTGGGGCTCCTTTTACCCTCTTCTTCTCATTCTTCTTTAAGATCTCACTGCTTTTGCATTGCCTTAATCTTACTCTTCTTGAGATTTGAATTTGTCGCTCTTTCGTTGACTGTTGTTGTTCTAGCACCTGAAGCTGATGTTTTTTTTGATTTTTTTTTCCACCTTACTGTGTATGTCAGTGTGTTTGTGTGTGTGTGAGTGTTAAAGTTTTTATTTTTTTTTTGGAGTGCGCGACGTATAACTCTCAACACACAGACAGACAGACACAGCATATAACGGGACGGAGGGCGTCCGTCTCGCTTTCACGTTGATGTTTCCGTTAGTGTTGTTTGTGCGATACTGACTCAATTTGTTGCTCGGCACCGTGTATATAGCGTTCGTCGGCCACGCACGGCATTCCCTTGCTCTGCTCCTGCTTCTTCTTGCTCTCCGCTCGGCTGTCGGTCGGTTTGTCGTTCGGTCGACCCTCCCCACGGTCGCTTTCTACCACTCTTGCTTCGCCTCTCTGTCGCACTTGTGGGCGGGAAGTCGTTTAGTCCGCCCAGCGGCGGCGACAGTTAACTTTGTCTTTTCAAGAAAGGAAACCGGGGGGATGGTGGTGCACGTCGGGGGAGTGTGAAAAAGTTTGGATTGTTTGATTGGAAAATAAGAAGCCCTGAAGGAATGCTATTTATAGATTTCAACTTTCAAAACTCCTTGTTAGGTACCAGTAGTACAGAAAATTGGTTACGGAAATTAAGTTATAGTAATAGCAATGAAAGTAAAATTGAATTAAAAATTTGGATTGAAATCCATAAAAGAGGTTAGAGCCAAGTTTTGACATAGTCACTTACTTAACCCCCTTGCAGAGAACCCCAGACGACGCCACTGTGCCCCACTTGCCACTTCTGTTCCCCGAAAAAAAAAAAACAGCATACACGTATAAAGACACTTCGTTGAGTGCATGCAGCGCCAGGGCAACTGGATCGGGAATCGGGAGTCGCTGCTCGGAATCGAAAATGGCAACAGAAATGGAGTCAGACTTAAAATCGGAGTCGAAGTTGGAGCCCCGAGCGGGTCCACAGGAGCGGATTAATTAGGGATTATTTTCAAGAGAGCCGTGCGAAATGAGCTGGAGCCTGGTAATTGTCAATTGCAATTATTTTTAATTTAAATAAAGAATATGTATGTTTTTAATATAAACAAACATTTAATTTAATTGAACACATTTTATGGTGTTATTTGAGTCGAGGAATTAAAAATATTAACCTAATTACAGCTGGATCAACTGAAACTGAATGGAAGATTAGAGCCAAACTGCCCATTTTCGTATGCTCTGGTTGAGCTGTAAGTATCCATTAAATTCATTAGAGTGCCTCGGCACTTGTCAGTTTTACTGCCACATTTCAGTTTACGAGAGTATGAGAAAGCACCCAAAAAGCACTTAACATTGACCTTAAGACAATAAGATCTAAGGTTCAACTTGAAATGCAAATGCTTAAAAATTATTATATATTTAATTTTTATGGCTGAACTATGAATAAAAATTTATGTGGTATTAAAACAAAAATTGTTTCTCAAACTATTCATAAGTAATAGATGAATTATTTGCCTTTTACAGCTGTGTGAGAAAAATATGAAAATTATATTCAAAAGCTTTATTATGTTAAATTATCTTTTTGGATATTAATGCCAGTGATAATTAAAACTATATCCTAAAATAATTCCCTTTATAATAATTAGAGCAATATAGGTTTATTTTCTATACAGTTTCAAGCTGTTCTGCTTTTTTGAAAGTTTTCTTTCTTCAAACTGGTAAGGGAATATAAGAAATAGATGTATGTAAATATTTTGGTATACCTTCATGAATTCCCCATTGAAACCTGGGAATCGCTGCCTAGAACTCGAAGGGTTAGTGGGTCAGGTTCAGGTCCGCCCCTGGTTGTCGGTATTCGGTATAAACATATTCGTGTTTTCTACATTTTCGACTCCTCGCTCTCAAACTCGGATTCGGATTCCGATTCGGGTTCGGAATCGGGGTCTCCAGAGTTCCGTTGCGTCACCGGCGTTTGTTTGCTGCCACCTTTTAATGGTAAGGGGAGGCACTGGGTTAGTGGGTTGGTAGATTGGTAGGATGATGTGTTGGTGGCACGCTGGTTTGTCGGTTCAGTGGGTCGTTTGGTGGATCAAAAGGGCGTCCAAGAGAAGGCGCTGCACTGTTGAGGTAGCTGCGTGGTAATGGTGAATTTATGATTCTGTGGGCGGGAACAGATGGAAGCGAATGGTGGTCGGAAGAGAAGAGAGAGAGAGGAAAAAACGCTCCTGGCGCTTGGCGCTTGGCGCTAACGGTGGTTGTTGATGCCTTGTTTTTGTAATTCCCATTCACATTGTATTTTCCCCATTCTTCCGCGTTTTTTTTTTTCTTCTTTTCTTTATTTCTTTTTTGCCGCTTTTTGTTTTGTATGCGTTTTCGGTTACAGCTCGAAACTGGCACGAGTCAACTTTTATCGCACAATACACACACACACACACATGCCACTCAACCGCACTCACACACACGAACAGCTGGGGGAGAAATTATAGAAATGGCTAATTAAATAACTTAACTCACCAATAAACCCAAAGTAATGCCAGATTACAATATAGTCCATATACAATAATATGCAAATCTGAGCAAAAATATTGTTAGGACTAAATAGGTTCTTCTTAGCTTTCTTTTAGCTCATATATTAAATATATATTTTATGAACTATATTATAGTAGTCCAAAAATAATTTATATACTTTTTGGCAAAGCTATTTGGTATTAAGCTAAGGTTTTTAAAAATATCTATGATGATCTAAAGTAAACCTAATGATTTGACCACAACTGTCATTAGGAAGACACACACATGGACATTGATTTGGCATTTGTTTTTGCAGGCCCGCTTTTGACTTAATGCCGCGATTATTATTGCAAAAACACAACAACCCAAAAAAAGGTGGAAAGAAAAACAACGCGAAAACAAGCAACATAAAACTAAAAAGCTTTTATTTTTCCCCAGGTATGGGTGGGTGTGGGTATCGAAAAACTAATGCCAGAGTCAATGGGCTCTGCGTTAAACCCAGAGATTCCGCTCGCCAAAGTTTATATTCCTGAACAAAAAGAGCTGACAATTTCGTTTTGAAGCTATAATGATATACCTTACCTGTCCAAACTTTATTACAAACGCTCACGTAAAAATATAGATATATATTACATACATATGTATATATATATAAGGCATATTGATTTGTGTTTAAGGGAACCAGGTATATCTCCTTTATCCTCTGCTCACCGGCCCATTAAAATTTTGGGGGAATTGTTGTACATAATTTATAAAAAGCCTTTTGACTAAATAGTTGCCTCCGAAACAAAGTTATTCAAGCGAAATAAGTTTTGGGGCCCCCCTTTTGCAAACAACAAAAAATGACACACACACACACTAAAAAAAGAAGGTTTCCAAAAATAAACCAAGCCTAAAGAATCAATAGGGTTTTATGGCAAGATGTGTCTTCTAGATTTCGATGTTTAATTATTCCAGATGGCATCAAAAATCTATTAGGGCTAGGGCTTGCAATAATTAGTTACTAATAATATATATGATAATTGATATATAGTTTGTTTTGACATAGTTTTTAGTCAGAAGCATTATACTGTTATCTTAACATGGCCATCTCTTCACCTTGCCTAGGACATAAATAACACCTGTCTTTTGTCTAAAAAGCATCAGAAGTTACAAATTGTATCTGTCCCATCGATTAATATATATAAAATCGAGAAAATGATAGACGCGAGTTGGAAAGAAAATGCCCGATTATTTGGGGCCTGGCGCAGTTACGTACCATCCGAAAATTGGAGCACATTAATCAAACCAATTAATACCAAAGGAAAAAGGTCAGCCGTGGGCTCGTGACGCAGCAACAGGAGCGAAATTAGTGGGTTGGTGGTGTGGTATGAGGAATGCGGGGGAAGGGAATGGGGGTTACCCTCAGCATTAACCCTACTAATTTTCAAAATGGAAATACCTTCATTTAGAGGTCGGAATGGCATGAGGGGCCAGGGCCTAGGCGAAAATGATTAACGAACCAGCTTGCGACAGACAGCATATAATAATTTATTGATACCAGGCACACACACTCACGCATTCTCGCACACCCACACACACACACACACACACACACACACACTCACACAAAGGACCCTCTCAGGACCTTCTGAGTTTAGTAATTCAGTAGCCCAGTAGGTGACTCCGTGGTCAAGGCTCTGTTGCCGTACAAGTTCTCAACGGACCCAACAGCTAGTTGGCTGGCTTCCTGTAGGCACTTAAAGAAAATACCATAATTTATGTTTAATACGAATTTGTTGATTTCGCAAACAGAAAATTTCAAATTTTTCAAAACCATTACTGAACAACGAGACGTATACGTAATATGAATATGGCAATTATTAAAAGGAAAAATGAATTTAAAATGTATTTTGTTCAAAACTTTTCGTATTGTGTATTACACCTTACATGAGGGACTTTCACACATACACAAGCAGCTGGAAAATCGGTGACCTACAAAACATTTAATCGTTGCCAACGGCCAAAAAGTTTTCGGCTGCCTCCGGCTAGTGGTTTCTTTTATTTTCTTTTTTTGGTTTTTTTTTTCTGTGGTGACGGTTTGTTAGGTGGCTCGGGTTTCGGGATTTCGAAGTTTTGGGAGCTCTGGGAGACGAGCTGAGAGACACGCACGTGTTTTTTTTTTGTCCAAGGACTCGCGGACCGAAGGACTCGAGGACATCTGCCTGGCGGCCAAAGAACCCGGCCCACTTTCACCCAACAACAACAAAAACTTGACAGGTAAACGCGTGTTTGGGGTTTTTTAGTTTAGCTTTTCGATAAACAGTGTTTAATTGTAGTTGTAGTTGTAGTTTTCTTTGTTTTTTTTTTTACATATCTTATACACAACATTTAGTCAAAAGATGAACTTAAGTGTTAGGCTTGAATTGAACGTAGAGTTAGGATATAGTACAAACTAGTTTAAGATGATGGGAGCAATCCTAAGCGTAGGGATTTTATCGAAGGTATGTAATGGTATTTCGAATGGGAGGGAAAGTTCTAGAAAGTATGCTTGAAAAAGGGTGATGAATTGATAAAGTGAGTGGTCCGTTGCCGGTGGTTTCAAGTATGAGTATAAGACACAATTCATTGCATTCTGAGGATGAGAGATCGATCAGGTGTTGGGTCTAAGTGTACTATATGCGATAGGTATATCAATAAATCGAATAAACTGCATCGTTTTTGGCACGCCTCAAACGCCCTCACGCAGACTCACAGACAGACCATTTATTATAAAGCTGAACAGGTTTCAAGGAAGGGAAGGTACACACACTCATTTTGGAATCCTACTATATACTATATAGTATGTATATATTATATATATATATATGTATGGCTCCTAAACATCAACAACCATTTTCTTGTGAATATCGGTGTTGCCCACCACTGAACAAAATTCATCGAACGATATTTTGCCATCTTCGTCCTTGTCCGCAAAACAAATGGTCTTATCAACGATCTGCTGCAATTGTGTGTCCTTTAAATTGTTTCCAACCATCATCTTGAGCACCTGGAAGAGTTCACCATTGGAGATATAGCCATCATTGTCCATATCATAAATCCGGAAGGCAAATCGCAACTTGGATAGCTTATCACCGCGTACGCTAAATTGCGATACTCCTTGAATGAACTCTTTAAAGTCCACCTCTCCGTTGCCATCCGCATCGAAAATATCAATTACTCGCTGAACAAGCGGATTTTGCTGCAATTCCGGCAACGACATGAACTCATCTATGCTTAAAGCTCCGGAATTGTCCAGATCCAATTTCCGGAATCGCTTCCCCAACCTTCGGATCTCGTCCGCATCGAAGTTGGAGCACATGTCCATGGGCAGGGAGGTCTCGTTACCCATGTTGGCCTTCGGTTATTTAATTCTCTGGTCTGGATCTACGGAAAAGAATCAATGATTAGAGTGGCAGAACATTTTGTTTTTGCAGAGAAAAATACAACCAAATAAGGTCTAATAAATAATAATAAGCTGGGAAGTTTCCAACATCTTTAAAAGCTATATTACTACATGTCCTGAGATCTTAAACTCACAAGTTTTTCTTAATTTTACTTGGCTTTAATGGAAATGAAAAACCATGCAATGTAAATCTTTTTTATATAAAATCCTTAAAGGCTTGGTTATGTTAAAATTTTACAGATTGATTTAAATAAGCTCGATTTGGTTGATAGTTTTTCTCCACGTGTACAGTACAACCTCTTACCTGTGCTTTTGGTCTCCGGATTCTGTGGCTTTCAATCTCTTAATTTTTCAACGACTGACACACTACAACGAAAAGGGGGGAGTGCAAGTTATCAGCATACTTTTAATTACGGATCAATCGTATCGATTTTCCAAATTTCCAGGGGATTTTCACTTCAACGTTTTCGCTTCAACAATGGAGTGGAATCTCAGGGAATGGAATTGTTTTCTGAGATTCTGTGATGGCCAGGAAGCTGTGGTAAAGCCCAAAGTTAAGGATTCCAAATGGTATCCATAGATATTTACCATAAATAAACAATAGTTTCGTTTGGTTTTGTTTAAACTCCCAAAAGTGCTCTCTACTCGCTCGACAGCAAATACACGACTGTTTGACGAAAGAGAGAGTTTTTCACCATTAAATCGGCTGCTTGTGTATGTGTGTCGCGGAGAGGGCAAGGTAAATGCCAAATGCGAGAGCGCAGCTGTCAAAAGCAGACAGCTGTTGCTTTTCCACCTGTTTTTTTTTTAGGGGTTGCAAATTGTTTTTACACAGGCTAAAATCGTTTCCTTTGTTTTAATTTTATGTCATTTATGTTTTTGCCAAGTGAAAATATAGTTTTCGGTTTTCTATAGCATACTTTTTCGGTGAGCAGTCCTTTAAATACAAAAAAAACGGCATGGGACATTGTTTATTCCATCTAAAGATGGTCCATCGTATTAGAGCTGAGGTCATTCGATAGCCTTGCGGAACCACATATTGATAGCGATTCGATAGTTCTTCAATCACTACTTTTTCCAAAGCAATGCCAAATTTTGTCCAAATGGTTATTTTGTTTTTGATCAAAGCCAAAAGTTATTCGAATTTAGAAAGTCATATCTCGTTTGATTCGTCATTAAATTTCCTTTTATTCATATTTTATAATCTTAATTTCGATCCAGTTTCAGTAAAAATGGATGATGTTCCACCCTGATTTCAATAAGCCATAAGCCCAAGCCATCCAGTATTTTGATAAGAACAAAGCCAAAAGGTATCCGAAAGTAGAATGTCATATCTCGTTGAATTCGTCATTGAATTTCCATCCAAACTGCATTCATACTTTAAAATCTTCATTTCTGACCAGTTTCCATAAAAATGGATAATGTTATCCCACATCCAAAGTCGGAAATCAGATCTACCCTGATTTTTAACACAATCCATCCAGTATTTTGATAAGAACAAAGCCATAAGGTATCTGAATGTTAAATTTGCATCCAAACTGGATTCATATTTTAAAATTATCCCTTATCCAAAATGGGAAATCTGGTCTATCTTGATTTTCAACCATAAACAATCAGTATTTTGATCATAACAAAGCCAAAAATTATCCGAATGTAGAATGCCATATCTCGTTTATTTTCATTATTTTTAATTGGTATAATAACGGTTGCGTACACATATATCCTTCAAAAAACTTGGACATAATAACAAGACGAAATCAAGACAAAAAAAACCTTAATCCCTTCAGAATGTTATGACAAACTCTTTTTTTTAATTTCGGTTCTGTTTAGGCAAACAAAAAATATTTAAAGGCAATATTTGCCAAATGTACAAAATTAAATGGAACATTTACATAAAAACAAAATAAAAATGGTCTTAATAAGTTTAAGAATGACTTACCTACGATTTAAACAAATAGAGGTAAAAAAAAGTATGAGATGGCAATTAATCGACAATAATTATTCACTTCTTTTTCAGCGCCAGATAATCCTCTTCATCTGTGCTAATATCGTAGACATCTTGAGACTTTGCCTTAACCGGAGTCTTGTTTTTGGTATTCTTAACGTTGTTTTCTGTAGAATATATTATATTTATTAAATAAGAATATAAGAATAAGAATAAGAATATACAAAATGAAAATAAACAAAGCTATTACCTTGATTTACCCGCTCCAGTTCATCTTCTGTATCAATCCCGGAAGAGGCATCTTCCTTTATATCAATCTTTTTATGATCTATATCATAAGACTTGATCACCTTGATGTCCTCCACCATTTCCACATCCCCTTCGCTAGACTCACGTCGTGAATTAGGCTTTACTGCCTCATCGCACACTTCCACATCACTTTCCGGCTGACCAATATCGTTGGTATCTAAAGCGTATCGGCGCCAGGGTAGATATTTCTTTAGTTCAAAGCATTTCTCAATCCAACTGCGCGTCACAATCTTTCCCTTGCCCTTCACTTGATTGTATTTCGGAGTATGTTTAAAGGCGCATCTAATTGATAATAAGTTTTGTAATTCGTTGAATTATTCCTTTTAAGTAGACTACACTTACATCAGATGAGTACAGCCAGGCTCCCAATCAGCTTTATACTTGGCTCCCAATGCAACGGCTTTCGAACGCAAATCTGCACGATCGGGATTCTGAAAGGCCAAGATGTGAGAGATATTAAAGAAGTTTAAATATAATCTACTAAATGTTCTTACCTGTATGCCACTGATGACCAGGATCACTCCCTTTAGCAACTCGTTAAATGGACGATATTGAATTGGTGCATCTTTAACCTTTTGTTTTTTGGCGGGCGTGGCAGCAACTGCAGTGGGAGATGAGTGACGCTTTTGTGCTGGTGGACGTGGACTATCTTTTCCCTTCGTGGTATCCATACGCTTAGAGGTGTCATGTTTTGATGCTGATTTGTCTTCTTTTCTAGCAGATTTCTCTTTCGAATGGGATCTCTCATCTTTTTTTGAGGATTTTTCATCTCTTGACTTTATTTTCTCTTCTTTGGTGGAGGAATTGTGTTCTTTTGATGACGACCTGTGCTCATTGGATGACGACCTGTGTTCTTTTGATGAGGATTTGTTGTCTTTCGATTTAGATTTCTCTTCTTTGCTAGAAGATTTATCCAAGGAATGCCTGCTGGACTTATTTTTCTTGCTTTCCCTCTCCTTTTCCTGTTCCAATCGCCTACGATCCTTGTCTGCTTCCAGATGTTTGCTTAGCCGTTGTTTTTTAGCATTACCTTCATCGGCAGCCTCGTCCTCGTCATCATCTCCAAACAATAGGGAAGCTCGATTCCGATCCAAAGGCTTGGCATCTGCAGCAGCAGGAGATTCTGATCGCAGGGAATTGGGAACAGGTGATGGGGAAGGTAAGGGTTTAGATGAGGGTTTGGGGGAAAGCTTGGGTGTTGAAGAGTTCGATGTAGCCAGGGTGGAAACCTTGCCAATGCTCAATCTTCTCAAGGCTGTGGATCCCGCATCTCGAATGGCAGCTGCAGTAGATACAGAAGCAGGCGATTGCTGCTGTGTCTCCTTTTTCCAGCGCTGAAATCTGTTGACCTGATTGTCCGTTTCCGAATCTGGGGATTCCTCGCGAAGCTTAAATGCACCGAATTGCATCATTCCCTGGGGCAAAAGAGATTTGACTTTCGGTGGACCTGTAGAATTAGCCGGAGCTGCCACCACATGAACCTTGACAAAGGACAGACCATACTGGACATGTCGATTGAAGGGCTGTGTGCAGACAATCTTAAGAAGTTTCCACTTTTCCGGCAGGACAGTTTCCGACAAAGCAGAGCCACTAAAACAGCGTACTCGGTTTTGATTATTAGAATTCTTGCTTTCAATTGGAGTCATAAACGAACTGGACAGCAGGAGCTCCCGGAAATCATCCGTCTGACAGCCCGTACGGCTGACTAGAACTTCTATAAAGGCGGAATGCTCGTTGCCAATATCGATTCCCGTTATTTGTTGCGGATCCTCAAATTCCAAGATCACATAGGCGGACTTTTCACCCGGCGATTTGGTACGCCACTTTTTACCGGCATTTTCCTTTAGCAGATTCTCCGCCACGTGCACCTGGCAATTGGGAAACAAGTAAGTATGTATATACGCAATCTATATAGTCATTACTTACTGCATCTTCACTGCTTACTTCACGTACAGATTTAAAAACCGCAATTGGCATTTTGCAATTTCATTAATTATATTTAGACGCCGCTTGTTTGGCGGGAAACTAATTATGCTATCGTCGCTTCGATAGAATCCCGGAATTTTTAAAGCAAACACAACCAGCACATTTACTGAGTTATCTAGACAAAATTGTTATTCATTTGTTGTCTTGTTCGTAACAGAAGAATGCTAAGCTGCTTTTGTTTTGACAAATATTTTAAAAATAAACCCTGTATTGTAGGGTGCACTAATAACACATCACTAATAGTGATGAGCGCCTAGCTATTTATATTAAATGTACCTATTTTTGCGTCAATATTTAAGAACTAGCTAATTATCAAAAGAAACTATGTTTTGTTTTATTAACATTTCAAAATAATAAAAAAATTCCCTGAAAAAGGGTTGTGCTGAAATCATCTATTAACTGTTTTTATATTCTAAAAAATCATAGTCTTCATTTAAGTAACAACTTTCCTTCTCAATAACTTGACACACTAACACTTATTTTAAAATGGCTTATTTAAATATGTAATATGTTATTTTAAGATTTAAAAAGGTTTGCGACTAAATGGCAGAGTCAATGGAAAGCAGAATTGAATAACAAAAAAAGTGAAAGTATACATATGATAAATGAGGAAATAGAGATGTGAACTTATTTTTGGCAGTGACAAAGATACAATATGAAAATAAAACCCATATTCTCCAAAACGGAAAGCATAAAAAGAATATAAGCAATGGGAACTGCGGCAATCAAATCAGTTAATTTTTTATTTAAGTACTTTTAAGCAGTATCAACTTAATCAGTTGCTAAATCGTGACTGACTATGATAAAGGTCACAGTGAACAGGTAGCAACAATCGCCCATCCCTGATTCCCCTTGTCAATGTCGCCAGGCAAATAAATAAATATCAACAAAATATAGAATGAGCGCGGATGCGAGGATCAAGGAGATGGCGCCAACGCAGGACCCCAGTGTCTTGGATAAGGAACGCGAAGTGGATGCGACAAATTCAAATTCGCAGCCAAGTACCAGCGATTGGGTCAATTTCTCGCAATGGATGCATTGCTTCTGCGTGGTCACCTTCGATTTAAATCTTGGTCAGGCCTTGGAGCACGTCTATCCGCCACAGTTCATGCCCAGCGACCAAGAGGTCAGTAACATCTGCTACATGGCCTTTCCGGACTCGAATTCTGGATGCATGGGCGACACCAAGTTCCACATGCGATTGCGCTGTACATCGAGGAGGGAATCCCTGGCAGGATACAATGCCGAGTGTTCTCCTTCTCTGCGACAGGATGCATCCCACTATTGGGGCTTTGTCTACTTCCGACAAAAGAGGGATGCGAATCTGCCGCGTGGTTACTTCCAAAAGAGCTTTATTATCATCACACGGCTGCCGTTCTTCAATCTCTACTATGATATACTTTCCCAGCTGGCACCACGATACTTTGAGGAAGGAACAGATGTTCTCCGTCTGGCAAGTGAGCAGATTAATCGCCAGTGGCCCGGCCTGAGAGTGGGTAAACCACTCCAGCTTCCTCTGCTGGAGTGCAGTTATCAAATCTGCATACCACGTACTAGTAGCAGCAGAAAATCCAATGCAGATGGATCCGGAAACTCAGGGGAATTCCCAACAACTGTGGCAGTTTGTCCTGCGGCCAAAGTTTTACCCTCTGTTAACGAAATTGAGCTCTTCCGCTCCTTGGAATTTGTCATGGAGCAACTATATACACTATGGGAACTGGTCATTACCGCCGAGCCCATTGTGGTTGTCGGGACATCACCCGCCGACTGCTCTCACATGGTACAGACCCTTTTAGCTTTAATTGCACCCTTGGAGTACTGTGCAGAGGCGCGTCCCTACTTCACTATCCACGACAGCGAGTTTCGAGAGTTCACACAGGAATGCACCAGCAAGACAACACTGCCCTCCTGCATTTTAGGCGTGACCAATCCGTTCTTCGTTAAACTGCTCAAGGATTGGCCACACATGCTAAGACTGGTGGACAACCAGGTAAGAAGGAGAACCAAGTATTCACAATACATATCTTTAAACTCTATCTCTATCTCATTTTTATTCAGAAGAACATGCAGCAGCAACAACATTTGTTGATGGGTCAAAAGCATGCTAGAAACATCGCTTCGGCCACTTCCTTCTCCAGCTCAGCGGAACTGTCAAGCAGACCCATAAAATCTAGCACAGGATTAAATGGCAGTTCCAACAATGGCTCGGGTGATGCCTCGTCTTCGGGGCTGCACAGTAAATACAGGCCGTACCTGAAAAAAGACAAAGCGCTTATCAAAAAGGTACTGCTGGGCATGAAGACCAAACGACCGGAGCATGTACAAACCGCTTTGATAAGACGCCACCTGCTCGAGCTAACCCAGAGCTTTATGATACCACTGGAGCGATATATGGCTTCGTTGATGCCGCTGCAAAAAGACATTAGTCCCTTTAAGTCGGCGCCAAATGCCAGCAGCTTTAAGCTAGAAGACTTTTTGGCCACGCTGGAAACAGCTGGACCGCAGCTCACTTCACCGCTCAAAGGAGACTGGAAGGGATTATACAGACGCTTCTTTCGATCGCCCAATTTTCGTGGATGGTACGAGGCCCGCCATCGGGAACTGCAGCTGACGCTACAAGATCTCCAGTTGCAGGCCCTATCAGAGGCTAACCTGGAACATTGGGCACACGACAAGCAGGAGGTGGAGATTATCGACATGATACTCAAGCTCAAACAAAAACTGAATCTCTATGGCGACAAGGCCTCACAGCTGGAGGGAGTCAATGGCACCCAGCAGCAAATTCGTGCGCAGATTGAGTGCATGAAGGGTTTGCTTCCGCAAGATCTCAAGAATGTGGTGAACCTCTGATCATAGTTGCGGCTGTTTAGCTAAATCTTTCACTTCTCCCTTTTTTTGGCTGCTCCATTTCTGCCCAAGGATTCCCGCTTGTCTGTCTGTTATCCTGTATGTGTGTATGTGTGAGTGTTTAGCGATCCTTGGGAGGAGGTGCTCTTTATCATTGTAAATAAGTTTTGCCCAGAGATTAGTCGCTGTATTTGTGTCTAGTATAATTGTAACATAATCCCAGACAAACAAAATAAGATGAATGTTAGTCGAAGCCAAGTATTAAATGTAATTGATGCGATATTCTTTTCATTCAAATCAAAATCTATTCAGAACGTTTACAACTTCGTAGTTCATCCAAACAATGCTCATGCTCTTGACTGTCTCAAATAAAAAATCTATACCTTTTTAATGGTTTAACCTATTCAAATAATACGAATTTTCTCGTTAGAGTTCCATAAAGTTAAGAAAACCAATAAATGAAATCTATAGTTTGGGAAGATGTACAAATCCTTCCTTTAAACTTCCGAAACTGATGGGTTGACCAATGTGATTTAAATCCAGTTTTGTTCTACATCATAATCGTTCTGCAACTTTGTATATCGCTTAAAAAATGTTTATTTCTATGACTGTCAAATATAAGAAACTATACATTACCATAAAGGATGAGTGTTTCTTTTTGAGAGATCATTTAAAGATCTTTGAATTGCAATAAGTGTTCCAAAAAATGTTTATTGTATAAATATAAACAAAAAATACAACTTAACCGATACACGAAGGTAATAGTAGATAAAAAGATGTAAAAGTTTGATGAACATGGGAAACAATTTGTTGATGGAATGCGAGATTAGATAAGAAAGACAATATCGTCGGCCACCATAATCTGGTTGTCCTCGGTCATGCGATGGACAGCGGCCTCTATTTCACCACCGGTGAATGGCTCCTGATTGGCATCGTTAATGGCCGTGGTGATCCTGGCCAGCGGCAAGCTCTGTTCGCGTGCCTCGCGGAATAAGCGCTGCAAATTATTTTTGAACTCGCCTAACCGAGAATCGCTGATGGATGCTGGTTCCGTCGACGGTGTGTCAGTCATCGATTGCTCCTCGCTGGAAGTCGCCACCTGGGAGGCAGCAGAACGAGCGGGCAGCGAACGACGGGTTTCACGACGTGTCAAATCTCCAGCATCCGGCTCAGGTGTCTCAACATCCTCTTCATCACTATCCCCTCCAACAGGTGCAGTACGTGTGCGTTTGGAGCGGCGCGATGGAGATCGCTGACTGGTTGCCTCACCATTTTCATCCTCATCGGATCCACTGTTTCGGCGACGCTTGCTGCCACGATCCTTCTCCAACACCTTCTTGAAGTAAGCAAACTGCACCAATTCAATGGCTGCATGGGCGTCATCAATGGTCACCGATTTGGACATGCGTGCCCTGGCATGAGCCGTGGACAAACGGATCAGAGTCTCCAATGTACGAGCCGTAATCGGCTGAGTACGGGCCACATCAGTTTCGACCGCTTCCTGGGAACGTAGACGAGAATATTCGTTGGCAATCGCCTCACAAGCTTGCTCTCCCAACTTGGGCTTCATGCACTTGGCAATGTGAATGTACTTTCGCATAAACTCGACGGATAAGATCTTCTCGTGACGCTGACGAGATTTGCCATGCAGCAGGGCATCGTACTTTTCATAGACCTCGGTGTCCTTTTTCTGTGATGGCAGTAGGAAATTATATATTTTATAAGAAATATAGTAATCATAAATTTACCTCTTCACTGTTAGAAACAAAGGACAGTGAATCTGCATATGAACTGCCCATGGACAACGGCTCGCCATCTGCCTCCTTGGGATTACGATAGCGATGCATGCGCACCACATGATCCGAAATCATCTGGTCAACATCGCTGTCAATCACATCCAACATCACGAAGAGCAGATCAAAACGAGAAAGCAATGAATCCTGCAGCCCAATATTCTCCATGGGGGTTTTGTACTGATCATACTATAATAAGTTATAAAGATTCCTTAATTAGCAAAAATATCTTCATAGGATCCGCATGTAAACTTACCCTTCCGTAAACTGGATTAGCGGCAGCCAGAACAGAGCAACGTGCATTGAGTGAGGCATGTATACCGGCCTTGGAAATGGTCACTCGACCCTGTTCCATCACCTCGTGAATGGCTGTGCGATCAATATCGCTCATCTTGTCGAATTCATCGATGCAAACGACTCCACGATCGGCTAGGACCATGGCGCCAGCTTCCAGACGTCGTTCTCCGGTTTCCTGATCTGTGGTAACAGCCGCCGTAAGACCCACGCCACTGGATCCACGTCCTGTGGTGGGAATTGCTCGTGGAGCCGTATTTAAAACGTAGCGTAGCAATTGCGACTTGGCCACCGAAGGATCACCAATAAGCAAGATGTTAATATCACCACGAAGACGGGTTCCATTAGGCAAGAGCTTCTCCACGCCGCCGAGCAGCAGGCAAAGGATAGCCTGCTTTACATATGCATGTCCATGTATAGATGGCGCTAAGCTCTTGCTTAGCAGATCAAAGATATCGTTGTTCTTGGCCAGCTTCTTGCACAGCATGATGTCTTCTCGCGAAATGTCCAAATTACTCTCCTTGCTCAGTAGCGATATATTATTGGCCAGAAGAACAGTACGGAAAGTTCCTGAGGTGTAGCCACCGTGTTTACCCGGCAAACAGCGGTAGCTGCCTACAATTTGGACACGGTCACCAGGTTTGCAACGATCCACAAGATCATCATCGCAAACAATGTCCACAGAACGCGGCAGTTGACCAGCTGGAGCTTTCTCAGGCATTTCCTGAATGGTCATCGTCTGATGGTCCTTGTAGACGGACAAACCGTATTCGGTTTCCAGTAGATTACCATCTTCATCCTTGGTGGGATAGGCAGCACCGGACGGTATAGCCTCGAAGGAAGTCAGATCGGTGTACTTGCGCTCCATGACTTTACGAGTATTCGGACAATAGTGGACACTGCGAACCACTTTAGGTCGAATCAGGGAGACCTTGGTGACAATTCCTTCTACACAGACCATGTTGCCCAAATAAACGGATGTCAGGGAGCGAGGCGTTACATGCCGGTTGCCAAAGCAGCCCTCGAAACCCACAAAGAGATCCTCGTGCAATTTGGCATAGCTGGGATCCACAGTAGAGGCATATTCCTTGAGAGCCCTTCCAAAAGCCAGCTGCTCATCCGCTGCGTTTCCCAGGAGTCCCATCGCCCGCTGTGGGTTCTTGCGCTTTAGATCGTTGACATTCACAATTAGGCGCTTGCTTTTCTCCGCTATCATATCCTTTACGTGTCCCGCATAGATGCCCTGATCCTCCTCATCATCCAGAAAGTCCACATACTCGCGCTGGATATCCTTGATAAATTGTTCCCCGTCGTGGGCCATTTTTATTTTGCTTTGTTCCTTTTGTTGGGTTGCGTTTATCGCGTTTTATTTGGTATAGCAACTTAGATCCGTTCGGAAGGAAACGCAAATGCAAACAAAACTGGAAAAAATTGCACGCCGTATACAATGCTTTTTTGGCGGGAATGCAATAAGCAATGTGACCAGGCACCAGGAAAATACCACCGCCCTATGTATGTGTGCAGAAAAGCATATGCGGATATTGGATAAAAACTGTGTAGTAAATTATTTAATTATTAATATATATATACATATATACAAATTAATATAAAATATTCTATGAATATACTATGCATATTCTTTGACTATGATTAAGAAGAGGCATTTTACATGTTTAGAGGAATATGTACACCTGAAATACATATATAATAGGTATATATTCTATAACTAAAATTAAGAAGAGGTGTAGAATATTTAAACTTTAAAAATAATAATGTTTTCCAATATATAAGAAAAATCCATTAATTTTAGTTCCTTACAATAATTGTAATTTAATTTTCTGTAATTGAAGATTGCAAATTTAACGCTACAAGGCTTACACGAATTGTGACACCGTTCCTTGTTAAACTTTGTTAATTTGTAAAAATTAAAGAAAAAATTTGTTTTTGATTTTAATTTGACAGGAACAATCTCAAACAAGTGATAATTTTAGTTCCTTAAAATATACCTGTATTGGCTTACACCAAATGTGACACCATTTTTTGTTAAACAATTTGTCGGAATTAAAATTAAAATTTGTTTTTTTTTTTAATTTTACCAAGAACAATCTCAAAAAATAATAATTTTAGTTCCTTACAATATACTTGTATTTTTATTTTCTAAAATTGAAGTTTAAAAATGCGAATTTAACCCAACAAGGTTCACCCCACTTGTGACACCATTTGTTGTTAAACAATTTGTAGGAATTACAATTTGCTTTAAATTTTAGTTTTGGCAGGAACCATTTTAAATAAATATTATTAATAAAACTTAATATATCTTTAATATAATATTTTACTACATTATGAATAAATAGTTAATGCATACTTTTGTTGCCAGGGCTACTGAAACTATCGCAAGTTTGCAATCCTTACTACTTCTCTAAGTTCGTTGATTTCGCACTGTTAAACTTCGGGCACACTGTTTCACAAGAATCTTAAAACTCCTGAGAATAATTTTAATTTTATTTTTACTTTTTTCGGGTTTTTTATATGAAGAGAATATATTTAAGAGCCTGAATGCCTAAACGAACTGTTGGATACTTCAAGAAAAGAGCTGAAGGAATATTAAAACCCCTTCAAAGTATCGAATAACGCGATATTTGTTTGGCCAACCCTGCAGTGGGGGTCTTGTTTTTTGTTATTTGCTTGTTTTTCTGGGAAAAATACACATTTAAGAGAAAAATAAGTAGTTTCGAAGAAAAAATAATCTAAGATCATGGACGACGACAAACAGGTGAGTACCAAGGATTACCTTTGATTCCTTAGACTTGTCCGTTTTATGGGTTAAACAAATATTACAGCTGGAGAAGGAGCTGGACGAGATGCCGGTGCAGGATTTAGATGATGATACCTATGATGAATACGATCTGATAGTGATTCCTGATCAGAACAAGGCCTCGCCGAAAGAAGATGAAGTGGAGGAAGTTGAGGATGAAGAGGAGGAAGTGGATGATATTGACCTACCAAAACGAGACGAGCGAATACGCCAGCCTTGGCCATCTTCCTCCGCAGGCGAGGATATGACCACCATTGAGTTGATCTCTTCGGACGACGAGCCTTCGGTAGAGGAGGGTGCAGGTAATGACTCGTCCTCCAGCAGCGATGATGTGGGCGTAATCGAGGATTCTGACAGTGAGCTCTCCAGCGACAACGATGGACCCGGAGGAAACCAATTGGAGCGATCTTACGAGGACCTTATCGCCCTGCCCAACAAGCAGTTCGCCCAGCTAGTCTCCATCAGTGAAATTGCCTTGTGAGTATTGGATTACACAGCTTTGTAAATACTGTACAGAATTTATAGCTTATTATTATTATTAAAATGTAGCAAACTAAACGACCTGGAGAAGATCGAGTCGTCAGTGCTTTCTTTGCAAAAGGTAGCCACTGTGCCGGCTCACATTTGGCTAAAATACCTTAAAGCACGCTTGGTAGTGACCCAAACGCCAGACGAGCGTAAGGAATTCGAGGATAAATGTGCCAAAGCATTAAGCTATTATTATAGTAAGTCAAATAATCCATATAAAAACGATAAACCGAATTAATTTATTACCTTCCCAGACATACCGCTCTCTGAATTCATTGTTGGCTACCTCGTGGATCAGGGAAATGTGGATAACCATATACTATGGGCCAAATTGCTGGCGGACTACGATATTGAACGTCCAGATTTTGGCGAAAAGCTTCGCCCACTGCTCTCCACAATCTCTGATGAAAAGGAGTCCAAAGCCTTTGAGGAACTGTTGCAAAAGCACTGTGTCAGTTGGAAATGTAGCCAGGAACAGCGGCAGATAATAAAACCAATCGTGGACGATTTTAAGCGTCATCTGGACGAAATGAAGACGCAGCACAATGACTGGGATTGGTCCAAGATTCACCAGAGTCATATCGCCGAGGTGCAGACATTGTCATTTGATGATGACCTTAAGAACGCTGTTATCCGTTTTATATTTGAACGCACAGTGGCCAAGTTTCCCATTGCCGATATCCTGTGGCTATCCTACATCAAATTTATACAAGGCGAAGGCGGTAACGCGGAAGAAGAGGACGAAGAAAATGCGGAATTGGCAGCGAAGAGAGCAAGTCGTTTAAGCAAAGGCTTCTTGTGCAGCACAGCTTTAGATTTAGCAAAGCGTGGAGTACGAAGTCGCCCCAGCGTCCGACTGAATCACAGATTCCTTGATCTAATGGAGCGCGCCGATTATGAGCAGCCTGAAGTTGACCAACAGATACGCACAATATTGCAGCGTATAGTACCCGATATGACAATGACGGTGGAGCTTCATTTGGACTATCTGGCTTATCGAGTGCGCAACACTAATGCTGGGGATGAAGAACAGGCCACCAGCTTGCGTGCCGCCTTTAATCGCGTTTGGGAAGAACTCTCCGCTCTTTATGGTGACGAGGCAGACACCAGGTATGAGGTGCTGCAGCTTTGGGCCCAGGTGGAGTACACACATTTGGCCAGTCCCGCCAATGGATCCCATATTTGGCGGCAGATAATGGGTGAGCAGGAGTTATTGATCTCAATATATACCGTATTTAAACCTTTCTTTTTTCAGGTTATCCGGGCAGCTCACATCGTGGTTTGCTCTGGTTGGGTTTCGCCCAGATGGAAAGCGAGTATAATGCTGGTCAGGGCACTCGTGATGTTCTTCGCGAAGCTTTGTCTCAGCCCAGTTTGGAAGATGGCATCATGGTGCAAGAGCTTTACCGGCGTTATGAACGCTGTTATGGCACCTATGAGTCCATAGCGGCCTGTCAGGCTCTTGAATTGCCAACTGAATATATAAAGCTACGTCCCCGTATGAAGCCAAATTCTCAGCAGGCGAATTCTCGCCAACAGCAGCCTCGACAGCACCAACCGCGCCAGCAACAACAACAGAATCGCGAGCCACTGAATCGCGAACAGCGGCGTCGTCTGGCGCATGAGCAGCAGCAAGGAACAAAAAGGCCCCCGCCTAAATTGGCATCTAAGGCTGAATTACCAGATGTTCCTCCGTCACAATCGAAGGTCAGACTCACTGGGCAGTCGGCAGCAGAGACCCGGGAATCTAATTTTAAGTATTCGCGTGAGTCGCAAGCGCTAAGCACAAGTTTCATCCACTCAAAGAAAAATGTTTATATTTATAGCCCATTTGGAGATCAACAAAATCTTTGTGAGGAACCTTCATCCCGCCTGCTCCAAAGAAGAGCTGCAAGAGCTGTTCTCGCCGTTTGGCAACATCAAGGATGTGCGTCTGGTGCACAAGCTGTAAGCTAGTCTTTTAAATTACGATTTTTCTGAAGTTATATGTATTTATCCCTAAACTAGGAACAAACAGTTTAAAGGCATTGCTTATGTGGAGTTTGAACTGCCAGGTGAAGCTCAAAGAGCTGTAGCTGGACGCGATGGTTACCTCTTAAAGGGCATGAATGTGAGTGTTTCCGTTTTTGTATTATTTGTATTACAATCTTAACTTGTATTTAATGATCTTTTGCAGATTTCCGTGGCTATTTCGAATCCACCACCCAGAGGTTCCTCCTCTGATATACCCAAGCCCAGTGTGGCGCCCAAAAGACGTGTGCCCACCTCATTAATACCAACGACATTGGTACGCCAGGAGGTGGCAGCAAAGAAACGTCGTCTGCTGCAGGTCACCACGGATCGCGACGGTGTCGAGCCAACAACATCGACTTCAGCTGGGGCTGACGATTCCACTGAGCCTGAGGCTAATGGTAAATCCGTGGAGAAAAAAGAAGAGCAGCCAGCCACTGCGCCAAAATCTAATGATGATTTTCGCAAGCTGTTTCTTAAGGATTAAGCCATAATCCATCCTGTCGAGCCAGGAGCCAGACGTTAGCCACTGCGATTAGTTTGTTGTCAAGGACGAATATTCGGAATTTACATTTTAAGATTTTAGGAAGCCTAAATTGAACCAAAAGGTTAAACAATTGTACAAAATGAAGCAGACGTAAGACAATGAATGATTTTTCAATTCATAATTGGTTTGAGTTGTAAACCAAGTAAAAATGAAATTTTAAAACACGGAATAGGATGTACATCTCAATTTGTTATCAAGAAGTATATAAATATATATATGTAAGCATGTTTTAAATGTACGTTAGCCCTGTAATTGAGAAATCCTGATAACTGTGAATCCTGGAAGACCAGAAAATGCCACTTGTCGATCTACATAAGTAGATGATTTTCAAATGTACCGAAACCGAAATAAAATGTACAAAAAACGCGTTAATTAAAACAAAGATCTTGTTAATTTATTAGATAATGGCTAAATGAACTATGTACGGAACTTGATACTCTTGGTGACAGATGCCTTAATGCCGGACATCTCGCCGCCATAGCGATGAAGTTCCTTGCGTACAGTGCGCACGGCTCCCTTGCGTCGGATCAAAGCCTTACGGTATTTACCGCGGTGCTTGACTCGAGGATTGCGCAGCTCCTTCTTACGGTGCGGTGTTAGGCCCTTGTTCTTGGCCATCTGGTAAGTGATGCCACGACGGACGTGCTCCTCGTCCTCCTCTTCGCCATCGTCATCATCTTCGTTCTCATCTTTCTGTTCGTCCTGGTTGTCTTTCTCATCATCACCATCGGAGCTTACTTCCTCCTGTTCAACATCATTGTACTTGTTGAGAATCTGGAGCTTGGCCTTGCGTTGTGCCACATCCAGCACTGTAAAGGCATCGCCATCCTGAATTCTCTCCAGAAGCGCCTCCAATTGCGGTCTTATGTACTCCTCATAGCGAGGAGTTAGCTGCTCAATCAGCTGCTTGAGCTGCACCAGACGCTTGACCACCGGATGGAACTTGACGCTGCTCCGGCGCGCCTTTAGCAGTAAATAGAAGGCCACGTTCGAGCAGTATGTGGAGAGCACGGTGTGGAATAGGCTAGCGTACTTAAGAGCCGGTACCATGGGAACATCATGGTTTCTCACGTAATTAAGAACCGGTGTGATTAGATCCTTGACCTCTACCAAATGCTTCTGAAAGTCCTGGGTAAGCCCTAAGAACTCCGGAGAGTCTTTCTGCAGCAGCTGCCTACGTTCACGGGCCGATAAACCAGTCAAATCTGTAGTCACTTTGGTCACTTCGTCCTCCTCTAGCTCGTCGCCACTGCTTCCTGCCGCCGCTTGGACATCGTCTAACTTAAAATCCGCCTCGCTAAGCCGCTTTGCCAGTCTCAACTGGATCTTCTTGGCCTCTTCCTCTTCGGCAAGGGCCTGCTCCTCCTCTTGGGCATTGTAGCTGCTGTAGTCTTGGTCTACGAAGTCTGTGTTGTAGTATGTGCTCCGCTTGTTGCCCCAATCCATTGTATCGGGCAGATCGCGATCATCGTCCTCGGCTCCCTCGATGTCACTATCCCGCATCAGCTCCGCCACATCATCCCCATCATCGTCATCGTCAGCATCACTAAAAGCCAAAACTTCCTGGACGGGATCCTGCTCTTGGCGCTTTTGGCGTTGCTTGCGCAGATCCTCCAAAATCTCGCGCTCCTCCTCATCGTACTCCTGCTCGGAACCGGTCAGCTCATAATCATCGCCCTCGCTGTCCATTTTTTTGCTTCGCACAACACGTTTATTATTTTAATACGAATTAAAACTAAACTACACGACACGTGCGTAAACAAACGCAGCCGATCACTAAAACGATATAATCGGAAATGTAAGCCCAATATCGTTATCGAAGGTGGGTGTATTGGCTAATATTGCTGTAATCGCTAATCCAGTTAGAGTAACACGTTTAAAAAAAAAACGCGGTTTATTTACAGTTGGATTAATTGCGAACAGAAAACTTGCAAATGGCTTGGAATTAGGTAAATATGGAAAAACAAAAAACAATCACAGATACCTTCAAGATTTTCCAATTTTATTTATCAAAAAAGACTAAAAATTTGATTTTTGCTATCGAAAAGCCGTTTTAACGGCATCGTCATCTGGTGATCTATGCAAAGTTGAACGGGATCGGCAGCGATGGCGATGCAGTTACAAAACAAATCTTTTGATGATGCAAAAAATATGGTTTGTAGCTACCACAGACGCCTGGCGGCTCCATCTACCTGATGGGATAATATGCAATATTATAAAGGTATAGACAAAGTTATATAAGAACTGTTAAACCACATTAAAATGCTTCCTTTCAATCAAAATAAAAATAAACTTTAAAATTTAATTTTAATGTGGTTTTGCCTGAAAAATATAATCACTTTTATGTACTGACCACTTTTCTCTGGTCTTTGAACAAAGATTTTGTACTGGAACTGTGATTTCGATTTGGATAAAGCACTTCGAGCCTCGCAAAATTCTTAACGTTCGGTAGTTTCCACGAACTTAAGAGTGGATATCAAATACTCGCTGTTAGGTGGCAGAAATGGCTTCTCCTCCGCCTGGTTGGCGGAATCGCTAGTTTGGTAAGAGTACATGGGATTAATGCCACATTCTGGCGCCATCTCGTAATCACTGGCATTGATGCTCAGACCGCCGACGGATGGCTGTGCCACGGGAGCATCAGTTTTGGCGTCAGGGAAAGCCTTCATCCAGGGCAGCATAAGCGAAACTTGCCGCCACTTTTTCGTGGCCGACATGGAGTCCTGCTCGTGAACGTAATCATAGTATTGGTTATGAGGCACGCCTTGTGTAGGTTGATGCGACGATATAGTAGCGAAGCAGGAGCAAAGGCCTATGCGATCATCGGGGAGGGCCGGAGGAGCGGTATGAATCTCCAAATCGGAATCCAAAGAGCCATTCTTATTGTAGCGCCTCCTGACATTCATTGGGGATGTGGCTGCTGTTTCGACTGTAACATTAGTGGCATTAGTAGCCTCCGTTAAGGTCGAGCTAAGTGAGAAGCGGGGCAGCCGCAGGGGCGAAGTGTCCTCATGGAGATGGCGCAATCGCATCTGCAGCTGCTTCTCCTCATCCTCGTCCTCCTGCTGTCGTTGCCGTCGGCGCTCCAATTCGTCGACCAAATCGGGGTTTTGGATCCTTAGTTGTATCATCTGCTCCTCGCTATTCGCAACGTTATTCTGCATGGACAATGGAGAATCCTGTCGTTGGAGATCGTCCTCAGAAAAATCTTCCTGACGCCTTTGCTGTTTCAGCCTTTGGTAGTGCAATTCCTGCAACAGTTGCTGATCCTCCTCCTGGTCTCGCAGACGACGCTGCTCCTCCACTGTTTGCTCTTTCTCAGCCTTAAGAAGTTGCATCTGGCTGGCGGTTAATTGGCGATAGTCCGGATATAAGTGACTGGGCCTGTACCAAGAATTTTTAATGATGTGAGGTAAAAATTTTCTAAATTATAATAATGTGGTAAATTATACCTTATCTCCTTCCTTGGAAGCTGTTGTGTCACGGGAACCTGGGAATCTGGCTGCAGATGCTGAGGACGATTAACGACCATCTGTGCGTGTCCACCGCATAGTCTTCGTTGACGGACCAGAAGTAATCGCTGAAGATTCTGGCGCGACTGATCGTTGCCGTAGGAGATACGTTTAGCAGCCCGTTCTCTGCGATCCACTGCATCCTTTCGGACATCGGCAGCCGCCTGCATTTTGGCAGTTAGACGGATTTCACTTCTCAAGAATCCACCAGCTCCGGCTTCGACCATTTCGCCATTTCGACGCGAGATCTCTTTGCCAAGTTCTCGGGCCCGGGCCAAAGTCTCGACACGTTGTTCATGGATTCTTTGCTCGGGCGTGATCTTTGACATCCTGGCATGATGATTTATCCGGCGAAGATTACGTCCAGCTTGTGGTGGTGGTGGCGAATGGGAACCACCATGGGAATTCTTGGTACTTGTTAGTTGATTACCAGCAATACCGCCATCCTTGATCTCCTCAATCTCCCGGAAAAGGCGCTTCAAACGTACCTGCCGCATTTTCAGCTCGATGGTGCGATCATTGAACTCCTGAATCCTTTCATACTCCTCCCTTAATCTCTGCAATTGACCATTCTTCTTGCTATTGTTGAACATCCGCCGAAAATAAGGCGTCGATTTGATCTGATAAGACATATTCTAAAGCTGGTGATATCACTTTTTAGGATTTAAACGGATCTATTTGGAAATCCCTATTGGCACTTGACAATTTTGTAGCTTCCTAAAGAATTTTTTTTCTGAATATAATGTCTGTGTGTGTGATTTTAAGTTTTGTTAGGAAATGCCGGAGAAAGTTAAAACACCGTATGACTTAGCTGTCCTAAGCCTACTATTTTTTAAGGCTTCTACTTTTTCAGAATTAAGAACTTACAAGTTAAAGAAAAGGCACGGTTTACTTTGATGAACGGAAAAATGACAATGCACGACATTGAAATATAGAAAGTATTAAGTAACAACCATTATATTACCATTAATCCATATTATCTATAAATTAAAGAAATTTCTGAAAAGCTTGAGCCCATAAGCCCCAAAAAAGTGAATTTAGATGACAGATTATAGTCAGAGTGGTTACAATTTATTGATCGAATTGCTAGTGCCTAACCTTAAAGCTAATTTTACTGTCCATAAGGCATTTCGAGTTGAGTTTAAAACAGACGTTGAGGTTATGTCGCAGACAGGCCTCAACGCTCTAATACATACATATAGAAAATATGGTTTTTACCAATTGATTGAGGTTAGGTTTTTTGCAGTTTTTCATACAAGGTTTTCCTGCTTATTTTATGACCACACGCGTATCTCCTACTCCCACATCGCTTACGAGCTATACATAATACATATATTTTGTAATCCTGGATTTAGACAAGTACATAAAGAACACATTGGGTTAAAATCTATATGGGTTGGAGAGCCCAGCTCCGAAACATTAATTATCACGTTGTTTGAATTAGGATTTTACCAACTTGGCCATCATATTGGTCAGCTTGTGCTCATCAGCGCCGGAGAATGCGGCCACACGACGATCCTTTTTGAGGAACACAAAAGTGGGCATGCTGCGCACCTTGTAGCGCTCCGTCAGCTCGTCGAACTTGTCCACATCAATCTTGAGAACTACGGCCTTGGTTGAGTATTTCCTGGCCAGTGCTTTTACCGTGCTCTCCATGTCTTTGCAGGGTCCGCACCAGGTGGCGTAGAAATCGAGGACAACAAGTTTGTCGTCCGCCGCCTCGATCCTCTTGTAGTAATCGTTCATGGTGCGTACGGATGCCATTTCTTTGGAAGATTACGGATTTGGGATGGCTTAAGGTGTTAAATAAAAGAACTTTGTGAACTTTTCGAGCAAGTTGGTAACCCTTTCGAAGCTAATTTTGAACTGGATGCAGCCAGCTGCTCCATGGAGCTTTTATACGGCTCCAAATTGCTATTGGAGACTGGAATTCCCGCCAATTCTTTGCTGAATTCGCAATTTTGCCGCCTCTCGCGCGGCCTGAAAACAAAATGGCTGACTGTGGCAAAACAAAATGACCGCCATAACAGAGCTGTCAGCTGGCTGAAGAGAAAAGCACATGAGGTGAATTTACGTGATGTAAACCAAAACTATCGGATCCTTAGATAGTTAGTTATTGTAGCCAAAAATAAAACTAATCGCCATTTTAAGCAATTGCTGTTTAAAAAATGTTACTTCTTCCGAACATAATAATAATTACAATAAAATAAAATTATTAACTTCAAAGTATTCAAGTTTCCAAAACAATCATTGAACTTAGTTGTTAAATTAAACGGATATAAATGTTCTTACGAGTGGTTCGTAAAACAGTAAATAATATACTTAATTACTCAATTTCTTATAGAAAAAGTAGATTATATAACATTAATATGAATTATGAATTGTGAATGAGCATTATACATACATTATTACACATACATTATTATACATATATGAATTTGTAAACGTAAGATACTGTAGCCATATGAGAAATAATAGAATAATAATATTTGTATAATAAAATTACAAATTAAATTGTAGTATATAAGTTGATTAAGCCCCAGCAGCTATGACTTTTCTCCCCTTTCCTGTATCTTTAGTTTTGAACATAAGCTAACAGTGTACAAATAAATAAATAAATGATATATAAATTTGTAAGTGTAAGATACTGAAGCCATAAATAATAAAATAAATAACTAATAAGTATTAGCCAAATAAAATTGTTTGAAATATCTTCTATGAGTCCAGTTTAGCCACTGCTACATGCTTAATGCTTTTTTTCACATGCTCAAGAGTGGTCACATTAATTTACCGAAATTCACCATGAAAGTTTAAATTTTTTTTAGGATCCAAGTAGGCCTATTTTCGGCAAACTTTTTTTTTATAAGCAGTAGCCGTCCGGACTCCGGAAATCCTTTCATTTCGGCCGGATATTTCGGTGTGGACAGACGTTCAGCTCCCAAATTTCAAAGTATTAAAGTATAATTCATTTTATATATTATTTTAAAGCTACAAATATTTCTTGATTAGTTGCAATCATGGTATACCTTGTTAGGAATAAAGCGGATCTCGACCAACAGCTTGCCCTGGCCGAGAACAAGCTAGTAGTAATAGATTTCTATGCCACTTGGTGCGGACCGTGCGAAATTATTGCACCCAAATTGGAGGAGTTGGCCGAGCAGTATTCGGATCGTGCGGTGGTGCTCAAGGTGGATGTGGACTTTAACGAGGACATTACAGTGGATTACATGGTGTCCAGCATGCCAACCTTTGTTTTCATTAAAGGTGGCGAAGTTCTAGAAGTTTTCGTCGGTGGAAACTCGGAAAAGCTGGCCAAATCAATGGAGAAATATGTTGCTGATGTGGATGCCACCGAGCGTTTGTCCAATCTTCTGGAAACCGAGGACTCGTCCAGTGCCGAGCCAAGTACCTCCCCCAGTACCAGTGTTGAGAATGTGATCATATCCGAGCTGTCCGAGAACGATAAGGAGGCCGTCTTTGAGAATTAAAAAACACAAAATACACAATGGAATGGTGCAACACCGGTAAGAACTAAACAATTTACTTCAATGGGAACGAAAATAACTAATTCTTTATTCTTTCAGAACAAACTAAAACACTAATAACCCGAAAAGACGATAACAAAGTTCCTCAAATATGAGATGTTATAAGATTGATGTTATGACGGACGGAGGGTCTTTTCCTCCTGGAGTCTACCATTGATCCACAAAATATCATGATTTTGATATTTCGAATTACAACTTTAAACACTAAACAAAAAACTGTAAAACATATTTATCCTGTTTCAAAAATTACATGGAAATATGTACAATCGAATGCTGCTCGATTTCCATATCAATTCATGCCTTCACATGGTTGTTACTCTGCACACAGAATCAAGTACAAATAATTAGAAAATAAATATATTAAACTTATAACAAAATACACACTGTTGTATAAAAAAGAAACATAAATTATGCCTTAAAATTGGACGAAGAGGCACCAATCAGAGAGGGATGGGAATAGTTTCTTAATTTCTCAAATATATGAATTTCCATGCCCAGTTAAAATAATTAAATTTTAAGTGTGTATTTAAGATATTGATTTATTCTATACGTTAAATTATAAACGGAGTTGCTGGAACATCCAGTGAGCGCCAATTACACCTAATACGTGTATGCGGAAAGCTCACTTCTTGGCGAAAGTTATTTTCATAGCGTGCGTCGGCGTAATCTTGAAGCCCTGCAGGGCCTCCTTGGCCGCATTACTTTGCAGTTCCGTGGTAAACTCCACGAAGGCAATGTCGTGTCGGTTTGGCACAAGACGCACCTCCTTGAAGCCAGGGAATTGGTTGAAAAGCATGGACAGCATCATCTCATTGGTCTCCTCGGGCAGATTGGTAAGGAAGAGAATCTGGTTGGGTGGCTGCTCCGTTTGTGTGTTGGGGTTCGAGTTCTCCGCGCTTGAAGGCTTCTTTTTCTTGTCTCTGCGTGACAGAAAACGAAAATTGATTATTAAATGTGGCAAGAGTTGACATGTCTTAAACCATGTAACATAGAGGCCAATGACAGGGCAATTAATTGCTGAGTAAGTAAGAAAGGAACATATTCCAAGAGCAGGATTGGAATACTTACTTCTTTTCCTCCGCACCAGGTGCTGGTTTAGGTGGCTTGATCTTCTTGGGCCGCTCCTTGAAGGTACCCTTCAGCTTGGCCACAATATCCGAATCCGACTTGGAGTATGCTATCTGCATGGGCTTGTCGTAGAAGGGGAATCCCTGCATGGTTCGCAAAGCATTCGAGGCGCTTCCAATTTCTTTAAAGATCACAAACGCCTGGCCGCGCATTTTCAGGGTTTTTAGTGCCACAATGTCCAGAATTTGGCCGAACTGCGAGAAAATCGCGTAGAGGGACTTCTTGAGCTCCTCCTTCTTGATCTTCTCGTTCAGGTTATTAATATATATAGTCTGATTAGGTCGGACGTCCATCCTGCCGCAGTTTTATTCAAGAAAATCAGGGGAAAACAAGCAAATTATCTATATTTTCTTGTACAAAAAATGCTCCCTTGCGTTAGTGTTGCAGAATGCCCGAACTGTCAACGCGTTGTGCACCGGTCTTTGGCAGTGCTGGTAAATGGCGGAAGAAAACAGCCAAAAGTAGCTAGATCAAATTTTTTGGCTACAAAACATTTTATATATTACAATGTTATTTTATAATTTTAAAAAGAAAAATATTTAAATTCAGGACAAAAAATAAAAAAAAATTTATTTTATAAAAAAGTGACTATGTAAAAACTACAGTCAACATTTTTTGTCTTGAAGATGGTCATACCGAATGCTGACATCAATCGGTTATCGGTCATCGATAGCGTGGATGAAATTGAATTGTTTTTGTTTGTCTTCGCGGCGTTTCTTTAGTTTTTGTGTTATTTATGAGGCTTGCCAACGATGCTACCGAACGCCAACGATAAGAAGGATCGCTATGCCAAGTTGTCCTTCCTGGGCGAGGGTCAGGTAAGTTTTATCAGAAGAAAATCAACCAGAAAAATCTTTCTAATGTGCGCCTATAACTTTCCGGCTTCAGTTTGCCATTGTGTATAAGGCCCGGGACACAGTAACTAGCCAAATTGTCGCCGTGAAGAAGATCAAGAAGGGATCCCGTGAAGATGCCCGTGACGGCATTAACAGGACAGCTCTGCGAGAGATCAAGCTCCTGCAGGAGTTGCAGCATGAGAATATCATTGGTTTGGTCGATGTGTTTGGCCAACTTTCGAATGTCTCGCTCGTTTTCGATTTCATGGACACCGACCTGGAGGTGATCATAAAGGATCCCAAGATTATTCTGACTCAGGCGAATATTAAGGCATATGCCATAATGACGCTAAAGGGTCTGGAGTACCTGCATCTGAATTGGATACTCCATCGCGATTTAAAGCCTAACAATTTGTTGGTCAACAGCGATGGTGTCTTGAAAATTGGAGATTTCGGTCTAGCCAAATCGTTTGGCTCCCCAAATCGCATTTATACGCATCACGTGGTCACCCGCTGGTACCGTTGTCCAGAATTGCTATTTGGCGCCCGACAATATGGAACCGGAGTCGATATGTGGGCAGTAGGCTGCATTTTGGCGGAACTTATGTTGCGAGTGCCATTTTTGCCGGGCGATTCGGATCTGGATCAATTGACCCGGATCTTTGCCACATTGGGAACACCATCAGAGGCGGAATGGCCACATTTGGCCAAGCTGCATGATTATCTGCAGTTTAGGAACTTTCCTGGAACTCCAATGGAGAATATCTTTACAGCCGCTGGCAATGACTTAATCCTACTGATGCGCCGACTTTTTGCCATGAATCCGCTGCGACGAGTATCCTGCCAAGAAGCCCTGAGTATGCCGTACTTTGGTAATAAACCTGCTCCAACAGTTGGCCCTAAGTTGCCCATGCCGTCGGCCATTTTGGCTGCCAAGGAGAGCTCCACTCCGAAGTCTGGTGATGACAAGCCCGCCCTCAAGCGAAAGCTGGTGGAGACAACGGTAAGGGGCAATGGATTGGCCCAGAAGAAGCGTCTGCAGTTCTAGAATATACTAAAGGTACCAACAAAATTCATTTCATTCTTAACACTAAAATATTGTCAAACATTTTCTATTCTATCTTAAATATTCCTAATAGGAAAAAAATCCGTATAGATTTCTTATAAAATTAATTGGAAAATAAGTTTATTACTTCAATTATTTGAATAGAAAATATGATTCGTAATTACCTTGCGATTATTTATTTATATTTAATACTCAAGGATTTCTTTTTGACTTGCATCATTAATTTAAGATATTAATTTCTCTCCTTTGAAATCTCTATTCTAAGTTGCAGTTGAAATTATTTGTCAGTTGTTGGAGGAAATTTGTTCATTTACCTGAAGAAAGACCTTAACTTGCATTGTTACAATTTTAAATTTACTTGCAAGCCTTTTTGTTTTCAATTCACCTTACCTTATTTTCTGTATAGATATAAGCTAAGACTATGCATAAGATGAGGTTGATTTATTAAAGATGTGCTTTAAAGAGAAATAACATGACTTGTTCTTCAGAAGAAATCTCCGAAACATGAAACAAAATATTTTGTAGATCTCAGTAAACATTGCGATTGGTGTTTTTCATCCGTCTATGGATTCGTAGGTTTTTTTCTGGCATCCGATTCCCAGCCGTCATTCAAAACACATCCTAAACTCAAAATTCTCAGCGTAAATTTCGGTCATTTGTTTTGCTTTTATAACTTAAGATTTTCGTTTAACAAAGTTAGGATCATGTCAAGGTTGCAGCGTCTGATGACCAGGGATCAAAAGGTAGCCATTACAGAAGAAGAGGCGCGACGTAAACGCGCCGAAGTGAGACGTAGTTATGGGAACAAGTTCTCCAATATAAATCTAACAAGGATGCGACAGAAGCAAAGTACCAGTGGCGATTTGGCTTCGGTAAAACCTACAGCAATAGATGATGTTCACAATAATGCCCCTACGGAAACGAGTTCTGTCTTGCCGCCCAAGGATAAGGATATGTCGTTGCGTCGGATTGCTTCGAGCTTTGACCAAGTTCAAGATTTGGTCAATGGCAGTAGTGCCGCCTTACCCTTAGAGGATTGTGAGGATGATGCCCGGGAGGAGCGCGCTGAAGTGCTTATATGCAGCCAGACAATGCCATTACCAGAGTCAAGTGAATCTACGTTGACTCTTGAAGACCAACAAATCGATATTCCTGTAGAGCCCTTAATTGAAGAGCTTCCCCAGCCGAGTTCAGCCAAGTTAACCCAAATAATGCCCGATCCCCTGCAGCTTGAATCCCGGGCCGTTGAACGTTGGCAACAGCTGGGCAGTACAGTTTCTGCTCTATTCCGTGCCCGACGCTATATCGACAGCTCGGAAACTCCGGTGGCACAGACCCGACGGATCCGTGAGCAACGCGAACTTCTCGAGGCATTCACTAGACCCTTCCTTTATGAGGCCCACAAGTAAGCCCTGGAAAACCCTCAGAGACATCCCAATACATTGAAATTTAAACAAAATCTTTTCTTTTGTTGTCAATTAAATTCAATTCATTGGATTTTGCACCTATTAGTTGGTGGCATCTGTATCTCATCATTATCATTTTCCTCCTGGTGGGCAATGGGTGGGCAGCACAGCTGTACTTCGTAATCCGGTATAGTCTTACATCCGGATTAAGAACAGCGGCACCTGTCACGCGGACACTCTGATTCGTAGTTGAGGCATTTATCCATGCAATAGGTATCGGCTCCTTCTTGACCAGCCCACTCGCCAATAGCCACACAGTCCTGACTAATGATATGAGAATATGTATTATTATTAGTTATTCTTTTTTAATACAAATACAATGTGTACTTACGGACAATAACAGGCGTCCTCTGGACAATTGGGCGGATAACGCAAGCAGTTGATTTCGCACCAGTTGTCTATGCCGGGCAAAGTTCGGAAGGGTGCGGCTCCAACGCATTTCTGGTCACTGAAAATGTAAAGAACCCAAACAAAAATGGTTTAAAGACATTTGGATTCTTGCCAAAGAGGTCATCAAATAAATATCTTTATAAGTTTAGAGTTAAGACCCCTCTAAACCATTTCATCCATTTGATTTTTTTCTTCTAAGCAAACTAAGCATGCTCTTCGCGAGCCGCCCGACCCGTATAAATGTATAGATTTGTAAACTTGGCACTTTTTACTCGATCACCCGATCGATCACATCTTCGCCTTTTATCGAAAAATTTCAAGTTTAAATCAGGAGACCAAGCTTGGAAGGAGGAGACAGAGCCTAGCAAATGTTCGAGGAGGATCGTAGTCGAGCCGCATATCGTCGTTATTTGGCGGCATTGCGGAAGAGCTATGGTAATGCCATCTCCGACAGCAACAGGCGCCCTGAGGTCGTATATAAGGCGGAGTCTCCCCATTGTTCCCAGTTCGGTAATCCTGGTCAGCTAATCAGTCGAACCCGACGTGGGAATATCGGTGGACAGTCAGTCCGTTTGGGCAATAGTAATGCCTACAGTGGGTACAAGGGCATTCCTTTAACAACCCAAACATTGAAATCGGTTACGGCACCTTCTAAGTATACGCCCCCATTGCCAGAACGTAAATGGAATGGGATGTCGAAAGGATATCAACCTGTTAAGAAGAACAACAGGGAAAGCAATCTTAGGCAATATGAAATGCTTCAGAAGCGCGCTTTGGCCGATTCCCTGTTCACCGAATTAAAAAATGATAAAAAAAAACCCAAGTAGCCAAATATAGACATTTTTAAACTATTCACTGATGTTCGATTTTATGATCAGATCTTAGATTGTATGGGGATCAAGGGGAGTTATGGGTATAGTCTTGTAGATTATAATTTAATCGGTTGACAAACTATAAAAATTATATATCTATGTATATATAGCCTTCTAATAATGTTCATAATCGAATCGCAGTAGCTTCGATATTGCCATTCAACTGTCAGTTTGATTTTACTTCACCAGTCAACTAACTAACACAGTTACTCAAGGCACTCAACAGCTTTCCATTCACATCTCAACATTTCGGGCCAACAATATAAAAGGCTCGACTCCATTTTCCGGACATCCAAGAATCGCAGATGCCGCAAAATATCGCCAGACAACAATAACAGCAATCATGAATCGCAACCGCATCAACCAAATGCGGCAAATGGATCGAGGTCAAGAGGGCCTGCAGCAGGTGGTCCAAATGCAGGCGACCACTGCAAGTGGTCAGGGTCAGGGTCAGCCACAGGGAACTCAGAGCGTTCGCCGCAAGACGACCTACACCAGAACGGAGATGCTGTCACGTACCCAGCCCACAGGTAACATTTAATTTCATTTTAAATCGGTAGACTAAATATAAACTTTTTTTTTCTAGTTCAAAACATTCGTCAGAATGTCTCGACAGCTGGTCAGGATTGGGCTGGCCAATTATCACCTAAACAACGGCATCAACAACCACCAAAAGTTGCTATTCCATTGGGCCAAAGCACTAATGTAACCAATAAGAGCAATACACCGCGAAGACATCGAAGTTTTCTGCCCCGGGTGGCTAGATTGCCGACCAAGTCGGAGAAATCGCCAAATAGGATCCAAAATCGCTTAGCTCGAGAGATTGGCGGTAAAATAGAGCAAGTTCCCGTAGGCAATCAAACAGCTTTAAATATTTCGAATTCACCAAATGATAGTAACAGCACTAGTCCAGCTCGTAGGACTATGATGGCCAACGAGGATAATTTAATGAATGACAGTAGCAGCTCCACGGATCGCCACAAGATCAAGTTGGCCAAGGCTATTCGATTACCAGATGATCAGAACAAGAGCTTTGTCTATCTTTGCAAGCCGGTGACGAAAGTCAAGGAGTTGCTGACGGCCCGAAGATTACGAAATAGCTGTGAGCACTTGAATGACAGGGATTTATCATCAGAGGAACCTGATTCGGTAAAGCTACAAAGAACATTTTCTGAGGAGGCAATTGGCACCCAAGGCATTGGCGAGGGCTATGAAGGTTATACTCTTGTGCCCATACAGGGCTTAACACGATCATCGAGTTCTTCAAGCCAATTGGATAGTCCCACTTTGGAGGCCATGCAGCAACGTCAAAAGCAATTCGAAGCCAAAACGGTTTTCAGTCAGGAGCGTTTGAAGAAAAAATTGCAAGAAGTTTACCAAAAACAAAAACATCTTCGTCAATTGGAGCAGGATCAGCGGCATCAGGAGCAACGTCAGTTCGAATTGAATTTGGTGGGCGAAAATCTACCCAATTTACAGCATGAAATCCGAAGGCTCCAGCAGTTAAGCGAAAAATTGGAGGCCACACTTCGAGTTTCCCATATACCGAAGCCCATGTCGCCGAAGCAACGAAACTCTTCGGTCACCTCGGATATGAAATCGAAATCATCTACTCAATTCTATACACCACGTACAAGTCCGTATCAATTATTTGAACTGCCCATTACTAAATTGTTTTGTCTTCGTATCGAAGAGATACCAGCGGTTCAATATCGGACTCGCATCCAGGCCAGGGTCTATCAGTTTGGCTTGGTTCAGGAGTTTCGCATAGAGACGAAGACCCTGAATGAACTAAAGACAGCAGATGATTCGCAATGTTTTTATTTACCAGTTCCCAAGGAGGAACCACCATTGGCCCCCCTTAAAGAAGCCGATCCTCTACATTGCACCAATTTTCGAAAGCTAAGAGAGAATCCAAATATATTGCTGCAGCAACTGAGGCAAGTTTCTGGAACTGGAAGACCGTTTAATATCTTGGATCAGGACACCATGTTCTTCAATAGTCTGGCCTATGGGGAGACAAAATCATTGGGTAGCAACGCTGCAGATCAACTTGAAGTGGCCACACGAGAGACGGGAGGCGGCGGTGGAGGAATCATTGCCAATTATGGTGGAGCCATCGCCTATTCACGCCTATCGGTGCGGGTCAATGATGTGGCCGTAGCGGGTGCAGCATTAAGACTAGCAGATCAGGGGGATAATCTACAAAGGCTAACAAAGAAGACGTCTCATAGTCAAGTTAACAATACTACGCAAACGGAACTCGAACCGATTAGGAAAATAAAAACTCCAGAGCCGGAAACTGAAATTAGTTCCCCTGATTATACGCCCAATCCGAGTCCCAGATTTACCAAACGAAAGAAATTGGAAGAGAAATTGTTTAAGGTAACCAGACAGGAGATTAAAGAACGAGATCCTAAGCCAAAGAAGACCAAATTTATACGTCGAATGGCACCGGAGCCGCCCGTTGAACGTCGCGTCGAGCCCAAGGTTCGTCTGCATTTGCTGAAAACCGTGCTGGTGGGAATGGTCCAAGTTGCTGTTATTTTAGTTCTCATCATGGCCTTCACCTATCCGGATGTCAGCTGCTGAGCTTATCTCTAAAACCAACCAATTACTTACACACCACACACAGCATCTATCTGCCTAAACTCTATTTTTTAAAAAGAATCAAAGGATATGCCAATATGATTTTTTAGCAATGCCTGCAAAAGGAAGAAGGTAGAAGATGCCAAAACCGATCCACAAAAAGCTCCGATTACCTATTCGGTTTTTCGAGTTTACACACTTCGATTCTGGTAGTTATTGTTTTCATACTGGGCCGCAGATATGCCAAGTCGATTAATGTTAATAAAATTTCATGTGCAATATGATTCGTTTATGCCCCAAACACCATAACCGATTCGAATCGGTTCCGTATCATTTAAGCAAAAGGGTTAAGCCAGACAATATAAATGCAATTATATCGGTTTTATGTTTATTTAAGCATTTCTTTATATACAGCAGTGTTTGTGGGTGTGTGTACCATAACCGTTAAAAAATCTTAAATTAAGGCTGTTGAAAAATTTACATTTACCCATTTCTATAGAAACTCTGACCCTATTCGGGTGGGAATCCAGGCAGAATGGGTATTTATTGTTTGTATTTGGTGTCTTTTTTTTGTTTATTAAGGCTAGAAAAAAACTTATTTTAGGCAGTTCTTGAGCGGGTAGCGGGTAAGCTGTTTTAAGCGGGTATCGGGTAAGCAGTATAGCGGATAAGCGGTTAAGCCTTGCCTCGTTTGCGTGCATGCCGCGTGGCATTGCTAAAAACCAAAGCAAGAGTTAAAAATTGTGCTTGCAGATATGTTTTGGAGAAAACGGCGTAGTTTGTTAGGAAAAGAGGATTGAATTGGTTAGATTCAAGCGAAAGCGGTGTTAGCATCAGAGAAAGTAAGGTTGTAAAGACAAAATTAAGAGTAGATGTTGGGTATTTAGAATAGAAAATGAAGAGAATAGATTAAAAGTAAAGTGCAACGTAAAATATAATAATAGTACTTGATAGTAAGCAGCTAGAAGAGTAAAGGAGAAAACGAAAAAGTTCTAAGAAAACCTAAGATAAGGCCAGAACAATACAGCTGAGAAGAAGATAGTATATAGATATCGAGATTACCATTCCCCCTACTTACCGCACAATAAGAGGAAAGATGTTGTTGTCGGGAGGAGCACGGAAATCGCGATAATACAGCAGATACGGTGACTTCTGGTTCACAAATAGCGGTGGAACACCACCTCCAGTGTTTGAGACAATCGCAATATCCGCACAATTGCGGAAGGTTTCTGGAATTTTAAAGATTCCAAAAATCGAAGAAATGTTTTAAGAGAGATATATTTTTTGAGATACCCACCTGCCTTGCCACATCCTACAGCTTCGGTTCCATTGTCGCAAGTACCCCACATATTGGCAGTATAGTAGGTCCACTGTAGAACACATTGCGTACAGGTTACATATGGTGGCAATCGTACACGATATTTGAATATATCCTTCTTCTTGGCATCACGCGGTATAAGGTAACGATGCTCTCGAGTACCTGAAATCGGTAAAGGATAACGATCGAAACACTTTTGGGTTGCCTCCCGTCGTGGATTATTGTTCGGACAGAGGAACATCTCAAAGCGACCATAATGATTGGCTGTTAACTCGACTTCTACATCGATTTCCTGGCCAACGCTATAGTAACGGGAGATAATGCCCTTGGCATATTCTCCGCCAGCTTCATGGGGTCTCGGCGACTTAACATGATAGGCATCACCGCAGACGCCGCAACGTCCTTTATTCTTCTCCCATTGAATCGCATAGCCGCCGCAGAAGAGCTCGTTATCATTATAGTTTACGGGATTTGGATAACCAAATCGCCACATGGCATTCCTTGCCGGTGGATCCATAAGACGACCATGTCCCTGCACCGATATCACCAATTGAACGACTATAAATCCCAGCTGAACAAAAATATAACAGAGAAAAATATAAAGGGGGGATTAAGTATGACCGGTGACTGACCTTACGAGATAACTACTTACCACACCCACTGGCAAAACGCCCATTTTTGTGGCTGTCAAGTGTCGCATCCCCATCCCTGGACGGCCAGATTGCCTAGAAAGCGGACGTGCAACATGATATATAGATAGCTCAGCAGGCGGAGGACTTAAAATCGAATGCATTTTATCAACAAACGAGTTTTTGGTTTAACCAAAACAGTGGAACCTTCCAAATTCTTATTAATTTTAATTTAATTGCTTGACAGATTTATTAGTTTAAAATTTAATCTATTACTAAATATAAAATCATCTCAGTGGGAAATATTTTTTATATTTTATTTAGAATATTGCAAATCCTTTTTTCCTTATCTCCCACCACTGTGTGCAGTACTTGGTGCATTAACTACAGATTGCAAGGACGTCCACCTGATCCGCTTTTCGACTTTATGCCCGGTGCCCTTTATAAATAAATTTATGCCCACACACACACACACACACACACGCAGCACAGCATACACTCACACATCTAGACCCAGACAGACAGGGATAAATGTGCAAGAGTATATTTGCCACTTTTTGTTTAAATAACTTTTTCCCTACCCTGCTCTGCTCCCATTCCCTTTGAGGCTTATCTTTTATGTTAAACATGTTTGCTCGCTTGTCAAGGCGTTAAAAAAAAGTATCGAGAAAATGAGTAGAAAAATTTCAATTTTGAACATTACTTTTAATGGCATCATCTAGTTTACGCACATTCAAAGGGGTCGGAAGTGGGAAAGCGGCTGCATAAACGGGTTTACGACGGGCACTTGAACTTGGTCCGGCCCCCATCGAAATCAAAATACGAAATGTGGAGAGCTTTGGGCGTGAGTCGAGCGAAGATTTCTGGGCTAAAAATATATATGCAGATATTCGAGTTCGATTCTCATTAAAAACCAAGAGTTCACTGAGAAAAAATGGGATTTAAAAAGGAGTTTTTTGGGTGGCAAAATAAACTGAATGAATTATAATTCCTTAAATATTTCTCAATTAATAGTTTTTTAAGCAAGATCTACAGTTTTCTTTCTCTTCAATGAGTTTACAAATTTCCTCCCAGTGTACTTGTATTTATTCCCAACTTTAATGCCAACCATTCTAGCCTCATCAAGCCATTACTCGATATAATCATTTATATAGTCGAATGGCTTAAAAACAAATTGATTTGTCCATCGGCGAAAGACCAAAACAAGAATGAAGAAGACATCGAGGAATCTCGAACTTTATTCAGAAATATTTTAGTAAATATTTTCTTTTTGTTGTTGTTTTTGTGTTTTTTTAGCCTTTTGGCCATTGACTCTGTGTGGCCGTAAACTTGGTTATTTAACGAGACGCAATTATAATTTTTTGCAGGGTGTTTTTTTTCAGGGGGGGCATAAGGAAATTGGCTGTAAATGTGATTTTATAACTCATAAATTTATTTATAATATATTGATTTTTTTTTTATTACATTTCAAGAAGCAGTTGTCAACAAAAAATACAAATCGAAAAAATCGAAAGCGATGAATGCAAAGAGTAAACAAAATCTTACGCTGAGTGAATATTCGGTGACTAAGCTCTTGATTAGTTAATATGCGAAAAACGTGATAAATTGAGAAAAATTCCCAAAAACTTACTTTTTTTTGGCGTGAATGCAATTTTAATGGAGTTTTAATTAAGATTTCAGGTATGTATGACATTCTATATTTGGGGATATATTGACTTAGTTATAGACAAAATAATATAATTTTAGGGTGAAAAAAAGAAGTCAAATTTTGCATTTTTGATAAGGGATTACATCGTCTTTTTTAGAGAAAAATTGCCAAAATGTACTTTTTAAACTGTGAATGCAGTTTTGTTGAAATTTTAATTACAAGTCCAGCGATGTATGACATTCTATATTCCGATCATTTTTGGGTTTGTGGTGGGAAGAATTCTGATGATTCTGGGGCAACCATCACGATTTTGAGTTCTGGCAGAAAATTGAATCTTTTTTATTGGTTTTATGTCTATAACTTAGTCAAAACAAGCCACATATCTAAAACAATGACTGTTTTTTACAGCTGACTACCGAAACTTAAGCCCCCTTTACTTACTTTTATCATTATTGTTCTGATTTATTGCTGTTAGCTCTGTTTTAAGGGTTGAAATATCAGGAAACTGATTTTTAACAGAAATTTGCAACATTATTCTCGGGTTTTTAGCTCTTGCTCGGCCAAAACAAGCCGCATAGCCAAAAGAGCGACTGTTTTGTGCTGCTAACGACAAACACTTACTACCCCTATCACTCGTTTTTCGATTTTGGGAAAATCAATTTTGGCCCAAATTTCGCATTTTTGATAAGGGGTACCATCATCAAAATTTTCAAAAATGGGCCCAAAATGAAGTTTCCCAGATTTGCATGCAAACCAATTGGGAATCATGGCAATCAAGTTACGAGCCATACGAGGTATTACATTCTTCATTTGGACCATTTTTGGCTGTGCTATGGCCAAAGAACTGATATTTTTGCTTCCAAAATCACGTATACGTCGGTTGACAGCAGCAGCGGTTGGCTTTGTTGCCGTTTCTCAGCTCTAACTTTGTCAAAACAAGCCGCATGGCTAAAGCATTGACTGTTTTATGCAGTTAACTACCGAATCTTAACACCCCTATTCTTACTTTTTGCGTTATTGTTCCAATTTATTGCTGCGAGCTCTGTTTTAAGGGCTAAAATATCAGGAAACTGATTTTTAACAGAAATTTTCAACATTATTTTCGGTTTTTTAGCTCTAGCTCGGTCAAAACAAGACTCACAGCCAAAAGAATGACTGTTATGTAAAGCTAACGATCAAAACGAACTTTCCTTATCATTTGTTTGATGATTTAGGGAATTTTAATTTTTGGCTATTTTTTAAATTTAATTAATTAAATTAAAATTTTCCAAAATTATCAAAATTTTTACTTTTCAGACGGTGAATGCAGTTTTGTTGGAAATCAAATTACGAACTCAACGAGATATAACATTCGAATTTGTGACCATTGAGTGCTTAGTTTTGGGCATAATATTATCATTTTGAGGGGGGGGAAATGGGCATAAAAGAAATTTCGCATTTTTGATAAGGGTACCCATCATTAAATTTTGCTAAAAATGACCAAAAATCAAGATTTTTAGCTGTAAATGCAGTTTTCATGGAAATTTAATAACGAATTCAACGAGATATGATATTCTACATTCGGATAACTTTAGGCTTTGTTCTGATCAAAATACTGGAAGTTTTAGGTTTAAAATCAATATTACAACTTTAGACAAGAAATTCGGTACTTTTTTTTAATAATCCGAAATACTTTTTAACTGAATTTAAGGCATTAAACTCTTTAAAATCGTGGTTCAGGATTTGCTAGCCATTCTTCGCTCAACCGAATGTACCGGTAAGGCTGCATAAACCCCAACCACTCAGCCACCCATCGATGTAATTAGGCATGAGTGCTTGATTTTTAATTGGACCGCCGAAATCAATAAGCAGCCAGGCTGAAACTCCTTGGCGTTAAATGAGCGTGTTGCACGACAAAGTAAAAATCGAGAAGCAAAAAAAAAAGGAAAACGATTAATCGTCTACCAAAAAAGGAGTAAATTTGCTGGGTAAGCAAAAAGGCAGGCAAAAAATGACAGGGAAAAATCAGCAAGTAAAAAACAACGTCCTTGCAATAACCAATGACGAGCAACGTTTATCATAATTGTCAGGCCAACGCTGATGGCCAAATTAAAATGTACGAAATTTTTCTCTGCCGGGCGACGATAAATTGAAAACCATGGCAGAAATTAAGTTGTAAATTAACCAAATTGCACAGCCCAGACAAAAAAAAAAAAAAAAAAAAAAAAACAACAAAATAACAGACGGGGCAACGCAAAAAAAAGGGCCCACCAACATTGTCCGTTGTTTGTTTGTTGTTTTATTTACATTGCGTGTGTTTTCATTACGCAATCGAACGCCAGCCAGGTCCCGACTTAAACGTTTACCCCCTTGAAAATCACGAAAAAAAATCCCCCGAATGAAGTGCAAAAAAAAGGAATGTACTTAATGTACTATATATCACCTTATGCAATCGATGTCTTGTACTTTGGGGGGCCTCTTCATTGTTTTTAGGGGCGTGACAGTTTAAGAAAAAAACAAAAAAAAAAAACCCAAACAGAGGCAAGTAATAAAGTTGTCAGATGGTCACGAAGTGTCAAAAGTCAGGCAATGAAAGGGATACGAGTGGTCTTTAAATTAAGCTAAAGGTTGTACAAAAAAAAATATTCAAAAAATCATTAAAATGTAAATTAAACTTAAAAGATAAGCAGAGTTAAAAAAAGGGATTAAGTAATGAAGAGAAATAATTAATATTCACATAGACAACAAGGAACCGAAAAGCCAAAGTCATGCGAACATAAAGAAGCTTAAATGTTTTTCAATTATTTCCTCCGTTTGCCAAATTAAAATTCTTTTTTTTTTAAGGTACTCTATTAATATGGCGCCCGACAAAAAGTGAGTAATCAAGTAAAGGGAGGGGGAAAAAAAAAGGCGACGACAAACAAAAGAAGAGCCCGACGAATGGGCGACATAAATAAATCAGAGATAATGATATTGATACGCATAATGATAATCACCCAACCATCGTCAATATAATAATTCGAACAAGTCACGATTCTGTAAGCGGCATGACAAATTGATCATCCCCAGAATATTTAAGAACCCCCCTTTTTTGGAGGTCGCCCGAAAACAAAAACTCTACCTTATTTGTATATTCGATTGATTTGCAAACTGGAACTGTCGAATGTAAATCGGTTTATAGATTCTTTATTTCCCATTTTTTTTTCCTTCCTAGCATTTCTCCTTCTTAATTGCTTTTTGGCAAAAATAACACTAATTGGTTAAGTTTTGGGAATTGGCACAAAGAAATAAATCTAAAGTCATGAGATTACCTTTTTTTGGCTAGAAATTTGTTTACAACACGTTTCTTGTTCTGGCTAATGGCTAAACTGATAGCTCTACTTGATATGTTTATAAATAAATAATAAATAAGATATAAATTGGCTCAACACACTTGATAGTATCTGTCAAAGGAAGAGTGATGGCAAGCAGTTAGTTTGGTGGTAAACTTAATAGAGTTTTAATGGTTACAAATTCTGATATAAACCTTTTGTGTTCGATTTTACTGATAGATCGAGGTGACATTTTGTTGGGCTTCCATAAAGTTTATGGGGTGTCCAATTCAATGGCCTAAACTTTTCAAGAATTTCAATCACGTAAGCAAACATGCACAAAGCATGGAGCATCAAACATGCGTAAATTTTATAATCAAGACAGTGTCTTCAATTGATTGGTGATCGTTGATAGCTGATCGGTGATCGGTTTGTATCAATGCTATATAATCAAGGCAAGAAAAATGTGTCATTGTGTCAATTGGATTGCCTCTTGTCCAGAAACAACAACAAAAAGTAAAACCGCAAATGAATCAAATGTCTTTTGGCAACGATTGCCGAAAACAAATGGCCCAATTAATGGCTTAGAATCGAATTTGGCTACAATGCACACACACAAGAAAAGACCTCACAAATAGTCTGGCTATCCAGTTTGGTTCCAGCTTATTTTTTGAGGCATCGCAAAGATATTTCCGTTTCGAAAAAATTTCTTTTGTTTTTAAAAATTTATGACCAACTGACAGGCGTGAGAACAAGCGTGCCAATCTCTTTTCAGTTAAAAAAAAACAAAAAAAAAAATGATATAAAAATATATGTGGTAACTGGAACTGACTGGCTGGGCATCCTTTAGCACTTTTGGTATTTAAAAAGTGTTAATCGAAAGCGAAACCTGGGGGTCAGTAAACGTTGTAACGGCCCCAACGAAGGTCAGTTTGGGAATGGCCAGCAGAATCATCAGCTGATGGCTATCAAGATCTCTTACATTATGCACTGGAAAAAAAAAAGGAAAAGCTCAAGTCCTTTTCAAGAATATGAGTTATTAAATCTTTTTCCAGTTTAACTTAGAACTTTCATTGGCAGATAGAAACTACTTGACTCCAAGTTTACTTAGAAAATAAATTGCCAAAAAACTTTCCCAATCGATTTTCGAAATCTAAATACGACTAATGAATAATACTTAACGACTACTTGCATTTATGAAAGTAAAAGCAATTAAATAACCTGTCCTTTTGTTTTTGGTAGAAAGTTGCAATGAAAACGAAATTGCTTTGCGTAACAAAAATAAATATTTTAACTTTTGCTTTCTATCGAGTAAACCCAAAAATGACGAACTCCAAAAACGGAGAGCCACCAACCAACGTGAGTCCCATCATATTGGGCTTGTCTATATGCTATATATATATATATATAGCCTGGAATCGACAACGATTTGTGTTTTGAGTCATTGCAAAGAGTTTTCGGTAGTCTTTTGTTTTCTTTGATTTTTGATGGTTACTCATTCCGGCTCATTGAAATGCATACATAAAACTGAGGGTCCCCCCCTTGTCCCGCTTTTCATAGCGGGTTCTATGGCATTAACTGCACTTGGCCCCTATTTTGATATGCCGATCAGGTATTTGTCCACTTTTCAGTTCAATGAGGTGGCAGGGAATTTGGAATTGTGTGTGTGTTTTTAGCAGGGCAGAGAGATTCGGGGCTAATTCGAATATTTGAATGACAGTGATGAAAAAAAAGGAGCACTTGAAATTCTCGAACAGGTGCAAGTGTCGCTGAACTCCTAATAATATTACCTTTTTCTTCAGTGGCATGTTTACTTTTATGTGGTATTATTTTTGGGCATAAAATGAACGTTTTTTTTTTGTTTACTTTTATTATTACTTTTTGTTTATGGCTACAGATGGCTGAAGGAGTAGGAAGGAGTAGGCAACTAACTGACTTACTTTGATTTTGAGCATTAATTTTCCAGCTTTTGAGCTTGAAAAATTTGTAAAAGTATGGAAAGTTTTTTAGTTGATTTTAAATAACATTATTAGAACATTTTTGTGAAAAAACAGCAATAAAAAATTCATATTTTTTCGAATTAAAACAGACTTTATAATTATTATAAAGGAATTTAAAATTTTAGTAATTTTTACATCGACAAGTTTTTTAAAGGATTGTCACGAAAAAATACAGTTTTCCTTTCCATCATCTTCAACTTCTCATATTTAATATTTATTAATATTATTTCTCATTTAACTTTAACCAACTTTTTTTAAACTTAATTTTTTGCTCCATAATTTTGTAAATAATTTTAAATTAGGTTTTATAATAATTATAAAGGAGTTGAAAATTTAAGTAATTTTCGACATCGACAAGGATTATCACGAAAAAATACAGCTTTCCTTTGTATAATTTTCAACTTCTCATATTTAATATTTATTAATATTATTTCTCATTTAACTTTAACCAACTTTTTTTTAACTTTTAGTTAATAATCCATAATTTCGTAATTAATTTTAAATCAGATTTTATAATAATTATAACGGAGTTGAAAATTTAAGTAATTTTCGACATCGACAAGGATTATCATGAAAAAATGCAGCTTTCCTTTCCATCATCTTCAACTTCTCATATTTAATATTTATTAATATTATTTCTCATTTAACTTTAACCAACTTTTTTTAAACTTAATTTCTTGCTCCATAATTTCGTAATTATTTTAAATCAAAACACACAGCCAAAAAAAAAGAAGGAAAACCCGTCACTTAAGAAATAGTTTCCACTTATTAAGGTTGACCATAAACTTGAACTTGAGTAAATTACCTGAATTTTTCGTGTAATTTACGCTGAGCTCCGCAAAATTGTTGTCACTTAAAATTGTTTCACGCACACACACAAAATGCAAAAAAAAAAAAACAAAATTACCAAAAACAATGCGTTGAGGTATTGAAATTTTAATTTGATTTTTGAAAATTCCAGCCAACGTGTTTTTCGAAGTTCAAAAAATTGTGACTTTAAAAATGTTTTTCACAAAATTCCTGCAAGCCGGCTTGCCTGATACGTTGAAGGCGGGGGCGTGGCAAGGAGTTGTTGTGTGTTGGTATGTGTGTTTGTGTTTGTGTGTGTAAGGGACGCGTGCTTTGCGTTTGCGCAGCGGCAACGTTCTGAGTTCGGTTGGCGTTCGGCGATCGAATTTCAACGACTTTTTGGTGCGCGGTACAATGGCAGCGACGCGGCAGAGGCGACAAGAACAATAGCAAAAACAACAACAACAACAATATCAGCAACATCAAGGCAAAAACAAATACGCTTCCGAGTCCCGTCTTATTATACCCAAATACCCTTTCAAAGGGCCTGCTGAATTTTGGTTAGCAAGTTTTTTAAGGGATTCTAAGAGAGGTTTTGGTTTTAGATTGAAATTTTTTGGTTTTAGTATTAAAATTAAACGACTTGGCATAAAGTATTTTTAAGTTTACAGTTTTTATCTAAAAATATATAGATTTAGTTTATAAAAAAAAAATAATAATTTATATTTTATAAAAAATATTTAAAAGTATAATTTTAGTTTTATTATTTTAACAATCTTTTTGTAATAAAATCTCATTTTTAAGGGCATTTATACTTCGACTTGCTGAACTTAACTTCCTATCTCGTTTTTATTTTAATATTGGCCACGCAGCGTCGTCGTCGACGTAGCCGTCGCTGCTGCTGCTGCGCATGCGCAATGCGTTGGTGTTGCTGATGTCGTGGATGTTGCTGGTTGTTGTTGTTGCTACTGTTGTTTCATTGGTTATGATCTTTTTTTTTTTGCGTAGCTTATAGTCTTGTTTTTGCTGCTAGGACCTCAGATGTTGCTGGTATAGTTGCAACCTACAACTTGCAACTGCTGTTGCTGCTGCTGCGGTAAATAAGCCAGATGAAGCCTCAGCGGTGTTTCTTCTCAGTTTTCTCTCTGTCTGGCTTAGGGTTAACCCTTTAAAACGTAGTCCTTAATCAAGTTTTTCAATCACTTTTACTGATATGTTTTTCTATAATTACATTTTTAATAATATTAATATTTGCTATATTTATATAACTGACAGGTGCTTAAAAAAAACAAATGCCTATATTTAAGAAGTGAGAAATGTCTCTCAAAGCAGAAGTTTGCCCTACTTGAGGTAATTACCCCATCGAGCCATCAGCTGATTAATTGGCTGGATCTCAAGGGGTCTAGAACTTCAGAATGCGTAGCTATTTCCGTAAGCCAACTCAGCGAAGCTGTCTTAGCCACAAAAAGAATCAGAAACAGAGGCGTTGCCTCTTACCGCAAAGGGGTAAGAAAACAGAGCAAGACTTTGATATGTCTTTTAATAGCTTAAAAAATATTCTGCTGGCAAACCCATTAACAACACCCCTGGACTGCGTCTCATTTATGTCACCATCCGTCCAACCACATTTTGATTTATGTCGTCCACTCTGAGTGCTGAATATGAAATCAATAGATCGATTTCGGGCTCTTTTCGTTTGCAAATTGAAATCGTGACTTGAAGCTTTAGATAAGACACGGCCCAAATGTAATTGGTAGACCAAAAAAAAAACAAAAAAAAACAGAACAGAAAAAGAACTTAAGAAACCGTCGAATACCTTTAAAAACCCATAACAACTTTTTCTCGAACGCAGTTCAATGAACTTTGGTTCCTACTTCATATTTGAACTGCCCGCCATGATTTTCGTATAACAGTTTTGGGGAAAATTCCCAACAGCTGATTGGGACAAAATCTCCGGGAAAATCTCCGAAAAAAAAAAAGTTTTAACCAGTGCGCAGGTCTGCAGTAAAAGCAATGAGAATGCCGGAGAAACTAGGAGAACTTTTGAGATGACAGAGAGAATTTCCTTTCTATGGCGAATCTTCTGGCAGCTGGTAAAATTTCGAGGATGTCGTTGCCTGGCTGTGATTCCGGTTTCGTCCTTGTCTGCGGCATGACTTCTTCTCCTTCTTTCGTTTTTCATTTTTCCGCCCCCCCCACGTCTTTCTCTTAGTTTTCCTCTCGTTTTCACCCACCACCCCATTGAAATGATTAGGTAAACAACAGCGGAATGCCATGCCCAAAATTCAATTTAAATTTTCCACTAAAAAACTTTAATGTGAGAAAGTTTTTAGAGGCGCAAAGGAAGGAAGGCAAATCTCTGCTTTTAATTTTTAATTCACTTGAAATTTATCATTTTTGGGTTTCTTACACATTCTTCACTTTATATTATATATATATTTATATATTTTTTATACATTTTTTTTTTGTGTTGCCTTAGCATTAGCATACTTAGCCAGGCCCAAGCACATTACACATACGCACCGTTGGCTCCGCACTTTCACCTCTGCCAGGGGCGTACTGAGGACCAAAAGCAAAGAGGGTCCACGGATAGAGGCCAAGGGGGAATGGGGGCCTGGTTAGCCAGGTCTGCCTCCATTCACTGGCAATTTACATGCTTTATTCGAGTAATTTAATTGCAAATGTCCCATTAGTGGCAAAGTGAAGAGCCAAAGGGGGTGGTGGTATGGCTGAATTTCTGTACGATAGGGCAGGGGTAGTCCTTGATGGTGGTCACAGGATGGGGGTTAGATTGTAGCCGCGCTTAACTGCCCAATGTTAAGTACAGGCAAGTACAGTGCACAGAAAATGAAATTATATTTAAGGCAGTTTATGGCCAATGGCAATTATTAGACAAGTCTAAAGGGGTTTTATGTTTTATATTATTTATAAAATATTTATAAAATATTATTTAGTTCTGTTAGTATTTTTGCAGGTCTTTTATTACAAAAAAAAACAAATTTTTATAAATTTTAAAACAGATTTTCACTGTGCCTGCTGGAGATTCTAAAAAAGGTTAACTGAAGAGGGCCTAGGAAGTGCTTTGACTGGGTAGTGTGGGTTAGAAAGAGGTGTTAGATGTGGGATTTGCAAGATGCATAGTTCTCGGTGCCCTTTTGGTCCCCCTCTCCACCTCGCTGGTGTGATATTTCTTGGGCTCTGTTGTTGCTTTTGTAAGTGTCATTAACATAGCCAAGCAACCGCAAAAAAGCGCAAAATGCATCTCTCAAAATAAGGAGGGGGAAAGAGGAGGTCGAGGAGGTAGAAAAAAAAATATAAGAAAAATAGCAGAATAAATAGAAAAACAGCAACTAGGAAAATATAAAAAAAGAAAAAGGAAAACTTACACACACACAGAGAGAGAGAGACATATGCAAAGGCTCTTCACTGTCTTCTGCTATTTTGTGTGTGTGAGTGAGTGTTTTTTTTTTGTGCCTGTGTGTTTGTGACAGGCCAAAACTAACAACAGAAACAACAACAACAACAACAACACTGGCTAACGAAAAAGCACAAAAACAAATGCAGAGAAAAAGAAAATAATAAATAAAACTGTCACATAAAATAAGGCAAAAGATAGGAGGATGCTGGTCTTTCCTTCTTTTTTTTTTTTTTTTTTTGGGTTTTTTAGGGGTGTTTGTAAGGCATTTAGCTATGCAAAAGTGCTCATCTCAAAGCCCCCCCCTTTGACCGCCCAAGTCCTGTCGACATTACCAGCAAAATGTTACTTAAATAGGCCAAACAAATATATATATATATATATATATACAATATATATCTTTCTATATATATTTGTAGAAAACTTCCATAGACAGATATGCAGATAGTAAAAGTGCTGACATTTATGACTAAGATAAAACATTTTTTTATGGCAAAATTATTATTCACCAAAAACCAAGTGACATGTGACAAATAAAAATTTGATTTTCCTCTGGCTTAGCTAGAGTTTTCATTTGTTTATTTATTTTGGAAATTGTTTATATATCCGTATTAAGGGAAATATAAGAAAATCTTTTAGAGACAAGTGTAAAGAAAATATATGGAAAAATATTATATTATGAATTAATATTATTAAAATAAAGTCTTGCGGTATGAAATTGATTAGAATAATGCGATTCAAGCGCCGTTTTGTACGATGACGCTTTCCCAACGAGATGCCAACTTCATGATGCCCCTCTCAGAGAAGCTCGCTTCCCTATTGGCAAAAAACTCGGAGCGTGGTCGCATCTTCGACCAACTCTACAGCAGAACGAAAACGTTGATACCATCGTTGTGCGGTGGAAATGGAAACTGTATCGGGTCCATAAACTGCACAAATTTTATTGGTGGCTTGAGATGCATTTTTGCCTTTAAAATATGCCGTATTTTCTCTCCTATTTTGCTCCATGATTGCCACGCTATAACTCACGAACGACTTAAAAGAAAAGACAATCAATCAAACACGTGTTAGCGCGTGAAATGAGCTTTCCAAAAAGGTATAGTATGACCTGATGCGACGAATAAAACAAGAACTACGCGATTTCACCCCCAACTAGCGAAAATACCGCAGGACTTTTTTGACAAACTAATATTTACGTAGAATGAAAAGTACACAAACAAACTGAATGATAATTAATCATTTATTAATTGCAATTTAATACAGTTATTAACATTTTCCATGGTTTTAAATTTCATTAACTAGCAATGTCAACAATTCAGAAATACAAATTACTTAACAGGCTTAAAGTTAATCTGAATGAATGTTTAACTTAAAAGAAAGAAGATTGTGGAATTTCATAAACTAAAACCAAAACTATTAAAATATGGAATAAATTGAAATTTAAATGGAATACTGAAAAAGCTATAAAGTTTTGTTATTTTGCGGCTGCCAACAAAAGGTAACCCCCCCCCACTCAAGGGTTCAATGCACCCGCACCCTGCACCCCTTCCATTCCACCCTTTAACAATAATAAAAACAAAAACCGCCCATCCAAATCGTGTTCACCTACGCCCATAAAAAACTTGGCAGGGTGCCAGTCTGAAAAAAAAAAGAAAAAAAAATATCAAGAAATATCAACAAGAATTCCCTTGTAAGCCAAAATTTAGTTTGCAAATTTTTATTTAAGACTTTAAGGCCATTAAAAAATATTAAATTCTGATCTATTGAAAGTTGATTCCGTCTTGGCGTTGATTGTCGATCGTTAAGGGCAATTTTCGTATCTAAGCCATCGTAAAACAAAACGGCCAACGATCTTCGAAACTGTCATAATCGCGTTATGATCTCCATATCAAACGCGAAACGAGATTGTTGTCAATAAAAAACTGGGGCATAAAAGAAAACTAAATCAATGAATAATAATTAAGTAGAGATGAGGCCTATTTAATGGCCACCATATCAGATTTTGATTTTATTTATTGGAGTCATTAGAGTTGGGATTTTTTTGAATTTCCGTTTTGCG